CAGGGCGGGGGAGAGCAGCACGGGTTGTTTTGGCGGCGACTGTGAAATGGCGGCTGGTGAATTTGATGGGCGTATCGTTTGAAAGCGTTTGTGTTGTGCGCAGACGGTGGTCAGCAGCTTGTGGCATCGCGGTTTCGCCACCACAGGGTGACGAGCATTCTGGTGAGCATCGAAGTGGCGCTGGGAAGCAGCGCGGGCTGGCTTGATGGCCACCTTGAAGTGGCGACGCGCAAATGAGTGGTGTGGCGATTGAAAATTGCGAGTTGTTGGCGGGCACTCACCATATTCGTGTCACGTTTTCACCGGCGCCACGGGCTGCTGAGCTTTGCGTTGGTGGTGGCCAGCAGCGCGGGTTGGCTAGGTTGCCAGCTTGAAGTGGCGGCATGGGAAACTTTGAAATTTTTGTGGTGTGCACAAGGTCGGGTCTTCACAAGGAAGAGTTGTCAGCAGCCTGGGTGCAGAGAGGCAAGGCGACGGTGGCGCTGGGAAAGGCCGGACGGCTGCATTCAACGGCGGCGTTGAAGTTGGCATTCGGTTGAAGTCGACCAAGCTGTGGGTCGACAGTTTGTAAACACAAAGGTTGTAAGCCATTCTCTTGTCTCTGAACTCACTGTAGGGCGAACAACGTTCTGCCCCTTCAACATGGACCTCACGCAAGCATAAATCTGGGACGACCACCTCATGGCTAGAACGCCATCGGCGTCCGCGTTGCCATCCTCATACACCGCGTCCTTCTCAAGGACGGGGTCCGGAGCTCGCAGGACGGCGTCCGGAGCTCGCAGGACGAGGTCCGGAGCTCGCAGGACCCGGTCCGGAGCTCGCAGGACCCCGTCCGGAGCTCGCAGGACCCCGTCCGGAGCTCGCAGGACCCCGTCCGGAGCTCGCAGGACCCCGTCCGGAGCTCGCAGGACCCCGTCCGGAGCTCGTAGGACGAAGTCCGGAGCTCGCAGGACCCCGTCCGTAGCTCGCAGGACCCCGTCCGTAGCTCGCAGGACGAGGTCCGGAGCTCGCAGGACCCAGTCCGGAGCTCTCAAGGCCCCCGTCCGGAGCCCGTAGGACGAAGTCCGGAGCTCGCAGGACCCCGTCCGTAGCTCGCAGGACGAGGTCCGGAGCTCGCAGGACCCAGTCCGGAGCTCTCAAGGACCCCGTCCGGAGCCCGTAGGACGAAGTCCGGAGCTCGCAGGACCCCGTCCGTAGCTCGCAGGACGAGGTCCGGAGCTCGCAGGACCCAGTCCGGAGCTCTCAAGGACCCCGTCCGGAGCCCGTAGGACGAAGTCCGGAGCTCGCAGGACCCCGTCCGTAGCTCGCAGGGACGAGGTCCGGAGTCGCGCAGGACCCAGTCCGGAGCTCGCGACCCCCGTCCGAGCCCGTAGGACGAAGTCCGAGCTCGCAGGACCCCGTCCGGGACGCCATCAGTCATTGTTGGTGATCCACCGTTGAACCTGTCCGGGACCCTTCAGGCCCCCGGACCGGTCCGGTTATGGCCAAAATACGTCCGGGACCATACGTCCAGGACCCCGTCCCGGACGCCGTCCTGGACGTCAGGACCTGGTCCTGAAAATACCCCGTTCTACTAGTGTTTGAACACTGACGCCAAAAATACACTGCTGCGAAATTTATGCCCTTTAAGCAAAGCTGCACGCTGACGATTGTACGACTTTCATCAAACGGGTGGTGTTCAAGCAGCTCCCGCTTGCCTGACTTCAAACCAGACGCCCTTCATGTCTGTACCCCACCGATATCGGCTGCCAGCAGCCCGTCAAGCGCCACGGGACTGACCTGATCAGAGTCTTCAACTTGGCCCCCACTTGATGTGGCCATCGCTGCACAAGGATAAACTGACAAGTTCACAGAAACTCCATCGGTGGAAATATAGTCTGTGTCGTTTTGTTGCGGCGCGTGGATCCGTGATGGCTACTTGCGCAGCCAGCCAAGCCTTGCCCTACTGGTGCGGGAGCATGGCGGAAGGGGCACCGTATTGGATTGGTGCGAGGCCAGACTTTGGTGGATTGAAGTGGCGAGGCGGCATGTGAGTGGTTTGTGAAACTCGGGAACGACTGCCAATGCTTCAAAGCCGAGTCTGCCAGTGACTGCCCTGAGAAGAAGGGTGTGCCCACGAAATGATGTGTTGCAAGACTAGACAGCCGGAGAGCTAGCCGGTAACGCTGGCAAATGTTGTGAGGCGACAGGACTCATCCGTCTTAATAACTTGACTGCCGCTCAGGAAATTACCAAGGTACTGGGGGCAGCTGCTGATTACATCAAAGAGGTGCTGGGCACTCTACCCATGATGGTCCTGCCCTTCTCTGCTGGGGTTTGCCATGCAGACGTTGAGTCGAGGAGCAGCTGATGCCGAGAACAGTTGCTGTGCAAGAGTGTTGCTGGAGGAAATGGCGAAACGGAAGATGGAGACGCTGCACAGGGCTATGAAGTTCAATGATGAAATATACAAGCAGTAAATTTTCAAAGTACTGGACAATATCGAAATTGCTGCCCGCATGATTGATCAATCATGCCTTTCATGAAAGGCACGGGTACAGTTCTACCGCTGGGAGGCTAAAGCACACCATTTTGAAAAAGGACACAGGCCCGCTGGCTGTTTTGGATCCACTGAAACAATGCGATGACCGTCTGAGCAAACTGCAAATAAGCCAACTGGAAAGGCTCCATGTGGCAGGTAGGGAATTGGTGTATGGCTTGAAATGTGGAAGATTTGCTGTAAGCCATTTTTGTGTTGCTGGACACAGTGCCTGGGCTGGCCCATGGTGCTTAGCATTCCATCTGCATTGCACCAAGTAAGGACTTGCATTTGTGGTGCTACCATAGACTGTCTAAGCTTGCCAGAGTTGGAGATCTGGATTCACAAGTGGTTCCAAAATCGTAGTAGTTGTGCTCGTGAAAATTGTGATGCTCTGGGCTATTTCCACGTTCATGCTCTCTGGAATGCTTTCCAATAATTATTTACACACATGTCAGGAGACAAACTGCATGGAGACCTGTGAATTTCCCTGCACCACACGCAATCCTTTCGGACGAGTTGCACATGGCCATGCACATCCACCATACCCAAAATGTGCTGCATCAGAATATCAGTATGGGGCAATTTAGGAACTTTTTCAATTTCACATGTTGAGCCTGTCCCAAAATCTGCTTGGTTGGCTTGTATTCTGCATTCCCATCATGGTGGGGGTGGAGAAATCCCTGAGCTCTGATGTTGTGAGACATTGTGGGAGTGGCAGCCTATCGTGATGGCCTATCTTGCTGGCTAAGATGCCTTCGTTACATTCCAGCAGGATACTCTGAAACGTTGCACGTATCGCCACGCGACTCATTTTGAATCTGCATGTGTGGCGCAGTATTTCCTAATGCTTCCGCTCATGGATGTAATTTGCCTGGCTACTTAAGGTTTTCCACTTCTCTTGCAGAAAGGAGATGGGCCAGCAGCATATGCAAGGGGAATGGGGCACATCGATTTGGCTGAAATACTGTAAGTGGCATGCAGCCACCGTTGGCAACAATTTGACATTGCTCTGAGGACATCAGAAAAATGGAGAGCGGCAGTAAGGAATGGCCGCTGTGCAGTTTTGTGGTGGTCTGATTGTTTACCCATGATTGGGAACCGTTGTGCCCAAGCTGGGGCTTGTGTCTGGCAGTGATTAACTACAATTTTTGCTCAGGGAGAAGGCAGAAATCGAGAGACGCGAGTCCATGGAGGGAGGACCTGAGGTACAGCAAGCGTCGCCAATGCAGTTGCTCGAAGATTCTGTCACTCGACGACACAGACGTGGCTGTGGTCCTGTTCACGTGGCTGTCCTCTGTCCTTCTCGCGCCGAGCTGGATAACGCGTGCGCATGCGCTGCTGAGCAGGAGAGGCCTTGCACCAGTTTTCAATAGAGCCTCCGTGAGGCTCGCGCTGTTGACATCGCCGTGGCCTCATGAACACCCTGCTGGGAAGTGAGTGGGAGACACGATGCTGCAATGTGTCGGGATGTTTCTTCATCTTGTAGGTCAGCCTTTGCTCCACCACACTGCCCAGGCCGCAGTGGGTTGGACTTGTGCTTGTGGCACGCGGTTTACTTGCGAGTGTTCATATGCTATGTGCCAACTTTGCTGTTCGTTCTCTTGCCGACTGGGATGCATGGCGTCTGAACTTGACTTCGCTTTCATCCAGTAGCTTGATGGATTTGCGTGTTCTACATTAAAGGACATGGGCCGGTATTTTTTAATTATGTTGTCGGCAAAAATGACTCCCCACAGATGCAAAGAAATGGAGTGGACTACTTGTAGTGAAAATTCAGTGGTCTAAAAAAACCCAACAGCGAGGCACGTTCACACGCCAATGCGTCCAGAAACTAAAGGGGCACTCCCTGCAGATCAAATCGATTTCCTGGGCGAATGACCAATGGTCATTGAGAACTTGCATGCAGGGGCCTTCAGAATGATTTGGGCATCGAGCGAGGCCATCACAACAACGGCTAGGCATCCTTGAGGCCAGGATTCCCAAGTCAAGAAAATTAGGGCCACAGGTCGCGCTTGGTGCGAAAATGAAATGAAAACGTGCAACCGGTTCCACTACAAGCAAGATACGCACCTTTGCACAGGTGAATTATTACATGGCAAGACGAGACTTGTGTCAGCAGCAAGAAAACTGTTCAAAAGAAAGCTCGCAACGGAAGCAGTTCTTTTGGCTGGTGTGCGTCCAATAATGACCTGCGGGGAGCTCTTGGGTCGCCCGAATTTTTTTCTGGCAGTCGGAGGTTGACCAGCTTATTATCCTGCTGTTTATAAGGCCGGACGCTAATTAATATAGTTAATTAATTAATTAAATAATTATAACTTGAAGGTTACAACAGATATCAATTATCAACTCGTGAGTTGCTGAATAAACGAAATCGTGGGAAGATCGGGTAGTTCATTGAAGGTGCCGCAGTGGTGGCCCCGCCTGGGACCCGCCTGGCGCCACCAAAGGCTCCACTGCGGTCCTCGTCGGGACCGCTCAGATGCCCTCGCGGCTCGGAGCGCCTCTGAGCCGGTTGAGAGCCGCCTTGGGTCCCTTGCGTGAGTCCTCGCTCAAAGAGGCGGAGATCGGCGTTTGGAGTTCCGTTCGCTCGCAATTGGACGGCGCGGCAGACCGATCGGCCGCCGTCTCTCTGCGGGATTGCTTCGGAGCTGCCTGGGAACTCTCGGCATGGGCGGTGAAGAGATCAGTTCAGACAATCGATGCGGGCGCCAGACTTGCCCGAGGGGAAGGACGGATGCTTTGGTGGGGATTGAACCCAACTGGTGGGGTGGCGGGGATCGGCGTTCAGGGAGGGTTGCGCGATTTGTGCGGAGAGCAGGGCGGGGGGCGGGTGGCTAAGGTTGGGGTTGTCGCTGGCAAAGTGCTGGCTGCTGATCGATCCAACGAGTCCGCGAGGATGACATTCGCGGCGGCCATTTCAGCGGTTGCCGGCAAGGGGGGGCCGGGGGGTGCGGAGAAATGGAATGCACATGGTTTGGCGCGGAGAGGCGGCTTTGGCATTCCGAATTGCGGGGTTTCTGAGGGGCGAATGATCATGGCGAGTGCTGGAGTGGGGGAGAGGTTTGGGTATTCCAGCGCCACCCATGGTGGCGAACCCATTGCAGCCCATGGCGGGGAACCGATTGCCACACTTGGCGGCGATCCCGTTGCTACCCATGAACCAGGTGCGATGCTCTTTGGATGAATGGTTTTCTGTCCTTTTTGGCTTCAGATGCTGCAGTCAGTTTCAACTCCTTCCTAATAGGGAAAGCTGGTTCTTTTGTCACATACCAAGATGCAGCAAAGTCTATCATTTGTGTCGGTTCTGGGGTTTGGGCTTGCAGTGAGGAACCTTCAGGCTGCAAAGCGGGGAACTCTTATTGTTGATGGATTCAACATTGGCGAACGATTCTTAATGGCATCGAAGATAGCATTACTTCCAAAACGACACTTGTCATGCAATGGATACTCCCTCCAGAGCAGCCCCCTTGAAGTAATTCTTTTCTGCAGCTGAAGGATGATGCAGAAAACTATGAGGGCAACATGAATAGCATGCAGCAACACTGCCTGCAGCTCTGCAGGTGACGCCGACTGCAAAGGGCTGCAATCGTTGCGACGTGCATTGCCAAACAACGAACTTTGCATGAAGCAATCGAAACTTGGATTCCATTTGTCAAATAGGGCAAACTCCTGGTCTTGTTCCAGTTAGCTTGTTGGTTTCTGGCACTCACATGACAATATCCAGCGCGACCCCAAGAAAACGAGATATCTTCAAATCCTACTGGGATCGTTTGCCCAGGGCCTGTGGTGTACATCCTTGGCCCTCCTTGTCAGTCTTATTGCTATTGTCGGCTGCCTTTGTGCTACCATGGCAGCTCTATTTCTTTGGAATACTGTAGTTCCATTCCAAAAACTGTTTGCAGTTTAGTAACTCATCCTTTTCGACTTGAAGCATTGATCATAGCCACAGGACTGATTGTTTACAGCACATGGTCAAATCATGTTCGGCATGTGTCTGGCTGCTACTATTGTTCTGTTTCACGCATTCCTACTGGGAGTATATTTTGTGTTCTTGCTGCAAAACAACAACACACTGTCGCTAATCACAGTGTCTGAACACATTATGCTATGTTGCGCACTTTGATTCGTCTAGTTGGAGATCGCCAGAGCATCTTTATGGAATGGGCAGAGGCTCTCAAATTATTTTTCTGAGAATGCTGCTGGCACAATATGCTACTTTTCTTCCTAAGAATCATTGACACAGTACTTTCCAGAATGAAAGAGGAAAACCCATCGATGTAGCCTGATCATTTGCCTTCCAGCACTAAATTTGCCATGTAACTACAACACTCTGCAATGTGTGGAGAAAACGATCACAAGAATTGAGAACGAGATTCATGAATGTGCATGCATTTCAGGGAGGCCCTTCGCCCAGATGGCCTTTCAGGATGCCAACTTGACCCATAAGGGATCCAAGACGGGGGAGTTTGTGGTGCAACAACAGCAAGAGGTGCCAGTCCAAGCGTATTTCATTGGTGAGGCACTGGTGCACACAATATACATTGTTTGAAACTAGACATGATGTGGCATTTGCAATGTTCCGCCACGTGACCTGCAACATGACTTGACATGACATGACATCATATGTGAGAAGATGTTTGCACCATGGAACATATGACACATGGTCTGATGGCTGCAGTGGCCTGATGGCCTTCTGACAGCACTTGTTTTCGAATGGCCAATTATGCAATTATGTGTACCCTACTTCTGTTGTTGGCTTCACAGTTATCTCCAGATTTGCCTAGCGAGTTGTTTCTGCTTGGAGTGCTCACCAGGACCCTGCCTCTGGGATATTGTATAATGGAAACGCATTGCAGGACCAAGATGGAATGGCCGATTTCCGTTTTGAGAATGGTGTGATCCTAGTTGTAGCATTTTATGTATTCTGTCATGCAACTACTCACACCACTTTGCTGCTGTGCTTATCTCTTCACTATCCTATTTCACTTGTATCTTAGTCTCACGTGGCATGTCCCGGCGCATGTGCACAGGTCATAAAATAGACATCAATGGTGTGGCCAGTGACCCATGGTTCATTACACTGAGAAAGGCCTCTGGGAGGGACCACGTCATTTTCGAAGTGTCCAAGGTGACAGTTGTGCATTTCTTTTTTGTTTATTAGCGACCATTGCTTACACCTGGCAGTTGTGGGCCCCACTTCGTTTGCAGCATGAACGAAACCAGTGCTCTTGCACCATGTGCATTTGTTCCCTCATTTCTTTGACCTTGTCATGAAAATTGTCTTGCTAAGCGGAAACCAATGTCCTCGCCACTAAGACACAGGAGCAATGTAGAGAGACTCCAAACACAGCTCAACAAACACAAGGACAGTCATTTTGTCTTTGCAGCTATTTGTTAACCACCTGAAATGGGTGTAACTGCACCAACGTTAGAAGTGCATGTAACTGTCTCAACATCTGAAAAGGACATTTGCTGCTCATCATTTTCCGCTTCCACATTCCTTCACATGCTCCACATCACACATGCTCTTTCCTCTATAGCATCACACTCCACATCCACCTGCTCTTTCCTCTATAGCATATGTTGTGTGCCATTCCCTGCATGCCTGGCTTGGTGTGAAGGGCTTCACTGCAACAGAAAGGAGAACATGTTGCCATGGTGCATACCCTTCCGAGCAGAAAACATGGTGGGACATACCACGGCGGCGACATGCACCTCATTGTCGTTTCACCAGTTGTGGGAAACCTTCGTCTTCTTCTTCTTCTCCTGAGCAGAAGGGTGCATGCGACTTTTTCCCTTGTCATGAAGATGAGGTGGAAATCTCCAGGTGCAAGAGGATCATCGAAAACACAGCCAAGCGATGAGCACATGCGCTCAGAGGCGGCAGGGGTGGTATGGGGTGGGGCTTAGTGCAGGCGCATATCATGCACATAGTGTGCATTACATGTAAACAATATCATCACGAATCGCATGAGTGTTGTTTGCTGTTGCATATGTAGCACTAAGGGCGGTGTATGTTCATACCCTGGGTACGAGGTTGATGCCAGATTGAGGGAAGATGTGAGCTGTGCAATGTGTTCAGATAGGGCAACAGCAATGGCAGTGTTCACTTGGTGGTGTACAAATATGGCTCCCTGGTCTTCTTCAACCCACCTATTGAGGAAGTCAAGAAGGAGATCATGTTCCTCTGTCAGAGATACACTTCAGAGCCCCTGCGGGAACCCAACAAGGAAGGTACATGCACCATGCATTGTCTGTTCACTTAGTGCTGGGGCTGCTGCAAACCGGCCGGCTGGGTTACTAGCTGACCCACAGCCCGTACACCTGCATGCTCCTTATCTGTGTCAAATCACATGCATGCATTTGGAGATCTGTAAGCACAGGATGCAGTCAAATGCTCACTGTATCAGATGAGTCAACAGCCTGATCAAGAATGGGCAGTGATTAAGTGATTACACAGGTGATGGAGCAAATGATTCGATAACCAGTGGGCTGCAACACAAATTTTTCCAGTGTGGTGATTCTCTTCCTGCCACAACAGATCACACAGTGGTGGTGCGTCCGACCATACAGAATTGGTACCGCCAAGAGGCAGACCGCCTGGTGCTGAAGGTGCTGGATGCAGACAACATGCGCGTAATATCCACGGTGCTGGGCCAGTCAGTGGCCCTTGACCAGTACAGTCGGTGAGGTGTTTGCCTGCCAAGCAGTTTTGGCGGGGCCTTGTGGACCACTGGATAAAACGATGATGTTGGATGATCAGCCATTAATAGATACATGTGCCTTGACCACTGTGTCAGTTTCTGCACTTGTTGTAATGGATAATGTATTGCAGTTCATTCAGTGAGTCTGTGATTCTTGTTCCTATCGAATAAGGGGATGCATGTAGTGCTGTGCCTGCATTTCGTTTTGATTCACCTGTGCAGGACGTCTGTGGCTGCTGACATGCCAGTCAATTAGAATTCACCGACTGGTTAGCTGATTGGTTGACGCAATTCACAACCTGCGCTTCTGCTTGCATGTCATTTTCGACTTTGTTTCCATGCATAACAATTGTCTCTTGAATGTTTTGCTTCCACTTACAAGATGTCATATATGAAGTGCCATGGACTTTCGATGACGTTTTCTGCCATCTGCAGCCAAGTGGATCGCGCTCTGGAGGAGTTCAACTCCATCAACCGCGAAATGGAACGCACCGGCAGCTTCACCGTCGGCCGGGGCGACCTGTTCCGCCGCGTTGCCAGAAACAACATCATGATCACGGAGGCCATAATCGTGCTGGGCCTGTTGGACCGCAGCGACACAGCGTGGACGAACGACAAGTACTACGGTGTTTGGAGCATGATGGCCAGTGATTACGAGCTTGCCAATCGCTTTCAGGCCATGGACAAAAAGGTGGAAATATCTGGCACACTCCTATTGGACTTTGCCAGTGAAAGTATGCCATTCGCGACAGAGAAAAACCGACTCCGCATTTTGCCCATGTTCATGCAAGATTAGGATTGCTGAACTGTGAATACGGCCTTGGACGAGAGATAAATGATGCAGTGTTGGAGCATCATGGCCAACGATTTCGAGGTGGCCAATCGCTTGCAGCCCATGCGCAGAATGATAAAGTGGCTGGTTCGATGCGTTTGGCAGCTTAGCGATAATGACTGTACACACTCTGGTCGCTGAACGCGGCCTGCTTCTTTGTTTGTCACTTGTTGTTTTATCCCCTGGCTTGCGTTTTCATTTGTTGTCTGTTTTGGGATGCCCCAGCTGACCTTCATTCAAGACAGTGCCAAGTACTTCCTGGAGATCCTCCAAGACAACAAGTCCAACTTGCTGGAGTGGTTCATCATCATACTCATCATGGCGGAGATCGTCGTCAGCGTGTACGACCTCTCAACGCGAAGCGCCGGTGGTTAGGCGTCAGAAACGCCACAAGTCTGCCCCCTATACGCCGCCAGGTGTTGCATCACAAGGCGCAAACTGCCCTGTGAACGTCGCGAGGGGCTGCACAGAAAGACCCAAATTAGACTGCCAAACGCCGCACAGAAGCGGTGCAATCTACCCGCGGAATGCCACCAGTTGATGATGCAATGACACGGTGCGAATTGGACCTCCAGACGTCGCAAAACGGCGCGTCAGGGAGCAAGGCGATTTGCTGTGCGTTGCGTCAAGGGGCATAGGTCGCCCATTGTTGCCGTGCGTGGTTGCATCGGTATGCACATCTGGCATTAAGTCGGGTGTTCAGTACTCGCCGCCTTTCTGAGCGATTTGCATTGCCTAAGTGATTCGAATTGTGCCGGTTGGCGGCTTGTATTTGATGGTCCTGCGGAGAACACCAATTGCACAATGAATGTACACGCGCGTGTGGCAAGAGCAGCCCAGGGGATGCAATGATGAAGGCATCCCCAAGGCAACATGAAAGTACGACACATAGTTCATGTAGCCAGTATTGAACACAAGTCGTCAGACGCCATCAGGTTTCCAGCTGCCCACACATGACCTCGCTATGCTCGGCAAAACCACCTCAAACCCAATGTCGTAAGAGCACACAAGTAGTGCGGGGGGATTGCCTGAGGAACCTCGAATATCGTCATCAGCAGCGAAGAGAGGCGCATCTGGCTTGGGTCGTGCGGCCATTCATAAATCATGGTGCCCGAGGTCCAATCGCCCACCCACACCAACCCTGCAACACCACCGCCTCTGCAGCAGCACCACCTCCTTGCGCCGCACTACATTTGCACCCTTGATACCCACTGCGTGCTGCTCGAAGAACGGCCGTCCGTATATAGAATGTTTTCTTAAGTACAATGTACGGACGGCCATTGCAAAAAGCAGCTGTACATGAGCACCCGAGAGCCAATGTGTCAAAGAAAGGGCAGACTGAGGGAGGTGGATCATGTGCCAAAGTTTTGGCAATCAGCATATGATTTTGTCTGTACAGACGCCATAGAATGGGCGTGTGGGGGCCAAACGAGATAGGTGGTGTTTTCTCTGCGCTTTGGGATGGGCGGCTCAAGGAGCTCCTACAGTTAGGAGATTGCGTGCAGGACGAGAAACCTACGTCAAGACGCCCATGGCAAGCCAAGCCCTGCCTTTCTTTGAGCCCATGGCCCGAGTCTCCGGATCCCTTGGCCCACGATCAATGCAGTCCTTGGACCAATGGGGTCCATAACTGCAAAGGACGTGGCTACCAAAAGCATATCTGATTGCAAATGCGCATCTCAAATGCCCACATGCACATGCCTTCTTATCAGAATCTCACCAACTATCGTCAACCCTTTTTTTCGTCGGAATGAAAAGAGGAACACCTCAGAATTTTCATCAGGCATGGCACAGGAGTCGATGCTCTGCCACAAAAACGCCAACACCGACACGCTCCTAAAGGGCACCTTAGTTCAATGCCTGCAGACAGGACCCAGCGTCAACCTCCAAGGCCATCCACATGTTCAAAAGGCTGCCACTCTTCACCCCCGCCCACAGAGGTCCTCAAAACCAAAAACTCAACAATCAACGTCAATCCCAGCTCCCTTCTTATTGCCAAAAAACGAAGAAAAGTGATCGACATGAGGACAGAAGGTGAGGACACACCCAGGGCCACAACGGCAGACTCCTAAAATGGCACCCTAGTCCAGGGCTAGCAAACAACGACCCGGCTCCAGCCCACCGGCCACCACATGTTTAAAGGCCTTATTTCCTTGGCCCTCCTCGCCCTAATCATAAACTCAACAGCTAGCGTTGATCCCACCCCATTTCTCGTAGCAAAGAAAAGGCGGAAAAGCATGAGTCCACTCGCAGACCAGCCAACAACAGGCTCCTAAAATGGCGCCTTAGGTCAATGACCGCAAACTAGGACCCAGCCCCACCCCACAAGCCACCACATGTTTAAAGGGACGCCACCCCCTGCGCCCCACCCACCCACCCCCACACCTACACCCACGGTGCTCCCCCCTCGGGCCCCAACTAGCCCGCTGGGCCCCCCGCCACCGCCGCTGGCCGCTAGATCCCGATCTGAGCCTTGGGTCAGGATGCGCAGCGGCAACGTAGCGGAGGTGTACGAGTGGGTGGTGCAGGACGTGGTGTCCAAGGTCCAGGAGGTGTTCGTGCGGGAGGGCGTCAACCCGTACGGCACAAACACGCAAAATCTCCGGGCGAAATTTTTCCAAGTCGAAAACGGAGTCGAAAACGGGGCCGGTCGCGGCACGCGGGGGTGGCGAGGCCGTCGTGTGCGCGCTCTGGATATGCGGTTGGCGGAGAGGAAAGCTTAGTTCTCCCTTCTTTCTTTTCTTTCCTACTGTTGGGGGAAGTCCACACAAAGCTTCGGGGCGAAATTTGTGCAAGCCGAAAACGGGGGCGGTCGCGATGCCCGGGGGAGGGAGCCCGTCGCGTGGGTACACTGCATTTGCGGCTGGCGGGGAGGAAAGTTTGCTTTCCTCTTCCTTCTCTTTTTGTCTCTTTCTCGAGGGGGCTGCGCGGCGGTTTGGGCGGCATCTGAGGCGGTGATGGGCATTTTCGAGCGCGGAAATGAGTCCGGAAGTGTAGGCGAAAGAGGGAGGCGCGATGTTGGGCCGATGCACGGGTGCTGGGTTTCCACGACGGGAACCGCGCCGTTGCCAGGGGAGCGGAAAGCGGCGCCGCTGTGAGCTGCTTGCCCGCCGGAGCGCCGCCCGAAACTTCAGAAATTGTGGCTACTCCCTGGAGGCGGATTTCGAAGTTTTGGCGCCTCGGGAACGCGGCGGGGAAGGGGTGCGGTGCTGTGTCCCGAATGCGCCCAGTCGCCGTAGATTCAGGGGCCCAAAATGGATCTGACGCGGCTCGTGCGTTCGTACCTGGGCGTTGAAAGGATTGGACACCCTTCGCCAAGGGCACTATCCTTGGGTACAATTGGTTGGTCGCTGCGTGTCGTTCGCAAGGCATTGGCATCGTCTTGAGGTGTGCCCCCCGCCTTGGGGTTGGCCCTGGCACTGTGGGACTTGGGGGGCCTTCAGACCCAGTTGTGCACGCCCAGATTCCGTCCTGTATGGGTAAGATTTTCTACAATGAGAAGGAGAATGAGGTCGTAGAAAGGGCAACCTCTTCTGGGCAAGATTATGCAATGCTCTTTTCCATTCTGTGAAAAGATGGTCAAGAATCTCCCAGTACGAATTGATGAGCACACAACACAACGCCCACGCGGGGTGGCTGGGCCGCAGGCCCGAGGTACAGCAAATGGGTGGCTGTTTGTCAGGGATCTGGGCTGCCGCTCGCGAGCTGCTGTGCTTTTCAGTTGTAGCTTGATTAGGCATTCGCCTGGGTGCAATGATTCTTTGGAGGTTTCGAACGACATCAACAAGCCAGATGACAAAAAAAAATGGGAACAATAGCACATTGGGTAGGGAAGGCGCCCAGGCTAGTGCGGGCTCAAGCTGCAGTAGTTTGTAGGTTGAAAAATTAGTGTGCAAAGGGTGGAGGTTAGCGCATCTGGCAACCAGGTGAAGGAGTGATAAGAGGGAGGGGGTTTTAAGGGGAGAACCTTTTGTATGGCTTGTTTCCTCTGTTGAAAGGACAAACTTAGCGCCAAACATGTTCTGGCTGGCATTTGGAGGGCTGCCAAGCGCTCAGACAATTCAGCATCAATGTTGGTCGTTATGTCAGTGTGCCAAAGTGACACTCTTGGCACATCCCTGGCCTCCAGTTCTTACCCTGCACCAAATCTGGACACATGTCTGCATCCTCAGTCAGAAAATCCATTGAAAAACCCAATGGGGAGCAACTTGTGCCATTTTAAGCCCTGCCATTGCATATTTTACTTTACGTTGGTAAAGTGTCACAAGCAGTATTCGGAATTCTGAATGATTTCCCACCCACCAGCATGCCCAGCTTGACCAGTTTGTGGTGTTAACACTGCCTGAAGGGTGAAAGGGCAATGGCTTGTCAAGCATCGACATGTGAAATTAAGTGAGAAACGGCATCGACCAAAGAGTGGGTATTGCCAAACCGTTCTGGTTACTTGCATTTTGCTGCCATGCTTCCCACGGTGCCCTCCTGTTCCCCAGGACGGTCCTGCATGAGCTCCGAGCCCTGTGGACCACCAAGCTCAAAGAAGAACAGGTGCGTAGCCGGGAGGAGGACAATGCCTCCAGATTAGTCAACCAGCAGGCAAGGAACAGGGGCCCGGAGGCCCAGCAAGTGGACCCCAAGGAACCCGCTGCCGCTGGACCCCTCCCCCTGCATCCGGGGGGCCCTGTTCCCCCGGGGCTTCCCCAGCAGGGGGGGCCGCTTGCGACTGGACATGGTGTCCCTTCAGGTGGAGCGCTGGCTGCGTATTCCCAACCCGGCGTTTCGCAAGGGCCCTTTGCCCCTGTGCAGACCATCGCTCCACAGGCCCCCTCCAGCGAAGGGCAGTTCAAGGAGGGCTCGATGTCCCGCGATGGTGGTGCAGGGGCTGTGGCGCCAGCTGGCAGGTCGGCAGGGGCCGATCTGGGCAGACCTGAAGTCGCTGCCAACCATTTGGATGGGATCCCAACTGAGCCAGGCGATTTGGCCAGTGTGGAGCCGTCAGTTGCAGAAACATTTCACGATGGAGTGCATGATCGGAAAAGGAAGATGGAGGATGAAGCTCTGGAGAACGGGGGCGCAAATGGGGCACATGCTGACGTTGTGGGGCAGGCACCTGCCAGCAAGGTTCAGCGTGTGAATGGAGAATCGGCGCCTGACGATAGGGGTCGATCGGCAGAGAGGGCGCCAAGGGATGAGGATGACGATGATGATGATGAGCTTCCCACAGACGATGATGACGATGAGTTGGTGGACCCGCCGAATTTCCTGACGGCTCAGTATGACAAGGTCAGCCGCATAAAGAACCGGTGGCGCTGTCAGCTGAAGTATGGCATATTCCATGCCAATGGCAAGGACTACCTGTTCAAGAACGCCACGGGCGATTTCACATTTTAGCACGCTGATGAAAGAATGTGCTGTGGGCACAGACTCCAGCTCTGTTCCCGCTGGTTAAGATATCGGCGATTCTTAATCGTAGTGGAAGCTTCGCTGGGTGCCACTCAAGCAGGTTCTTGTTCAGCCGGTGTTTGACGATTGGACTGCAGCCGTTCGACTCCGCCTGGTGGATTGAAAGGGTTTATTTGTGAGTGCTGGGATGTGGGGTAGGTGGTCGTTGGCCGAGGCGGGCGTTTTGTTTTGGATGGGGAAGAGCCAGGCTCCCTCAGCCCTACCTGCGGTGTGTGTAGGTTGCAGTACGTCTCTTTGCACAGAAACGGGGTTCTGTGTGATTGCGAGGCGCCCGCACTGTGCACTGTGCTGCGCATAGGTTCCATTGCTTGCATTGCTGTGGTGCTGCAACTTTGGGACATCTGCCAGACAGTGTGGCAACGGGTGTTGGGAGCATGGGTGGGGGATGGGTTGTGGGTTGAGGGGTGGATGGGTGGTGGAAAGGGGTGGGACTTCAAGAGCAAGGGCGATTGAGGGGACGATGGTAGGAGTCACTTATACTTCATGGATGTGGTTGGCGTGCAGTTGAGCTCGTCGAGCTGATTACGTGATTCCAAACAAAAGAGTCGGTACCGACTGGCCGTTTTGAAGAACTGACGCAATTTAGGGCTGTCTGCCTGAAGAATACGCGTCCTTGTGGGGACTCGCCCCCTTGTCGACAGTTCTGTGTTAGATCCCTAATTCGGTACCACCTTCTCCGGGGTAGGGGACTGCTTGCTGTGCTTTGGTAAATAAATCGAACAGATTGCCTATCTCCGCAGGTGGGCGTTGTGCCTGCGCCGGGAGCCAACAAAATGTGTATAATGGCACGACACGGTTTGTTTTCAAAAGGCGCAAGGGCAAACTCAGTTGGCATTCAAGACAGCTCGTGCCCGAATTCCTTTATGCGGCTCGCACCCGCAGCGGTGCCTGCTGGCCGTTGCTGCCCCTTCGTTGTGCAGGCTCTGCAACTGTGCGAGGAACAGTCGAGTCTTGACTAAGGGTGCCAGAGTTGATGCCAATCAGGCGACAGCGGACAAGGCGTGCTGGCGGCGCCTCAAAACACTGACCTTCAATGCTTGATGCCAGGCTGGAGTATATGGTGGCAGCTTTCGGAAGGGCATTCTGATCCAAATGCATACCGTTTGAGCAGCAGGGGAAGATAGTGGGCAATGCATATTTGGATAGAAATGAGTCTTCCTCTTTCAGACATTAGGAGTGCGCCTGTTCCTGTGCGGCTGCAAGTTCACAGGCAGTCCCACGCAATATGAAATTCGTGCCGACGCCCGCCCGTTCCTGCCCATCGGTCGCCCGCATGACAACAACTGCATACCCCCCGTATACACGACCCTCGTCGCCTACAATGTGCGAGGGCACGGCTTTGTCTTGTCGAAAGCAATGTAAAAGGGTTGCAGCATGACGGCAACTGCGATAATGACTTGCAAGTTTAAAGGTGATGAAGTCAAAGTGTCAAGGTACGTGGTCAACGCACTGGGGCCCCACAGGGAAATCAAGCAGCGAAACAGCAGGCGCACCTGGCCAATTGTCCTGAGAATTTCTGTGTGCAGTTGCTGTCACAAGGCGCCTTCGCCCGCCCGTCCCCGTCGCTAGACAGGGGGGAAACTGCAAACTGCAAACTGCGCTCTGCGCTCTGCGCTGCACGCTGCACGCTGCAAACTGCACTGCATGCTGCACGCTGCAAACCGCAAGCTTCTCCGCAGCTGCGCGATTACTATCCCAAGTCCCGAGAGCGGACGTCAGATGCCAACGTCACATCTCGGTCTACGTTGGAGCAAAGAGATTGGCCGAAAACGGCGGCATCCGCCCCAAAATGCCATTGAAGTCGCGTGTGAAGTTCGCGCTCGCGGCACCCACACCTACGCGCCCCGGCCCCCGACGTGAGGCACTCCGCCGCTGCGCCAGGGCAGGCCAAGTCAACAGGTGCGCTCCCAACCGCACCCCCCCCGCGACTACGGACAACCCGCCCTCCTGCGCCACGGGCCTGTTTTATCTCTCGGGCCCGCCGGCGCCTCACGGACCACATTTTGCGCCGGTCTGTTGAGCAGAGAGGGGCCCCATACCCTTGGCTGGGCGAGGGCTTCCTCGCTTGCAAGGTTCGACGCCACTTCCGTGCCGCGGCAGGGATCCCTTGTGCCCAAATTCAGCCTGCTTGATTCGCCTCTAGCTCGCTCAGCGGCTGTACTTGGCGCGGCGCACGCTGCATGCGTGCAACGTGCGTTTTTGCCCAAGTCTGATGCCCTTCCCCCTTGCCACAGCCGACCGCCTTCTTCTGCGCTTGGGAACGAACGCACCCCTCTCCCGCGCCGCCCGTGCCCTGCCTCGTGTACGTTTGTCGTTGATCGATGGCCAGCCAAGTGCTTTCCACAGGATTTGTGGCGAGCGCACCCATGGTGTGCCACGTGACCCTTCCCTTTGTGCCCTGACCCACGCCTGGGCTGGTGTCAGCCCGCGCCGCGCGTCGCCCTTGTGTTACGCATCGGCGCATGCGCTAATCGGTTACGCTTGCGGTGGGCTGCAGCCGCGTTCGCGAGACGCGGACACGGGCAGGGGGGCGTGCCCTCCCAAAGGAGCGCCGATGGGAAATGGCGAGGGGGTTTCGGGATCGTCGGAAGGCCGCGGGGGTTTGAAGCTGGGGAGAATGCGGGCAGAAAATTGGAGAGGGAACGATCCGGAATTTGTGAATAGCGTCATGCAGCATCGTCATCATGGTTCAATTTTACATCATAAGGCGATGAGGCAGCAGCGCCGCTCTGCGACACAGTGGTTGAATTGTGGCAGCGCGTTGAGTTCTCATGGAACGAATCAGAGACAGTGATTCGCGGGCGAAATGAGGGGCTGATGGCTGTCTCCTCGCCTGGATGTGTAAGATTTGTTGTTGATGATGGGTCTTTTGGGGCGGATTACTTTTGGAACGTCTTCGGAGACTTGGGCGAGGGGGGGTGGCGATGTCCTGGCGGTCGTGATTCGGCCTTGAAAATGGCACAAGTCATTTGGTTGCAGGATTGTGAGCAAATCCTTTTCTCGGTAGTTTGGAGAAAACGTGGACGTGCAAACTGAGGCCAGGAGTGGAGCCGTTTTTGCTGGGAATTTCGTCCTTGGCTGTTGTGATGGCTGTCACACACCCAAAAAAGGGCACTGCTTTGCCCCAAAGTGTGATTTGTTGCTTGAGCTGATATCCGCGAACAAATTTGGATGAGATGCTGAGAAGAAGGCATGTCCATTACATGGCACCGGCATTTCCTGTGGTGGACCAATCTTCATGCTTTATGCAGCGTCTCCAGCTTGGCGCAGTTCCCACAATGTGCAGCAATGTCCATAGATAGAACTGTGGCCTGTGCTGTTCAGTCATATGCGACCTTCGCTGGCTTGGGATTCTGAACCGAGTCACAACACGTGCTCTGCGGGGCTGTTTTGTTGCCATTTCGAGAATTTGGCAGCGTGTTTGAAAGCTCAGGCTTGTAGATGTTGCTTGTCATCCATCAATGCAGTTAGCTCTGTCACACGTCAGTCAAGGTCGATTCAGTTTGTTCGTTTGCCTTTGAAAAGCTGGCTCTTTGGGCAGTGGTGCATAGTCTCTGCTTCCCTAGATTCCGGCATCCTGTGAGTGCTATGGTCGTTTGTTGAAGTCGTGGTCTGTTTGCTGAAAGCCGTAAGCTCTTCGTTGCATAGTTTGCTCTATGCCAACTGCAAACAGCTCACTGTAATGGTGCTAAAGAGTCTTTACTTTCAGCCGAGAGCAGTCATATAGCACCTTTGCTCCCTGCATGGGGACAGTAAAAGCTGCCAATCTGTATGACATAGGGATTGTCGGCTGCCTCTGTATGCAGATGGCATCACTGTGTGTTGATACAGACATTTGCTGACAATAATTCTTGATGGCTTGACCGTTGCTATCCATAGACCACCAATTTGTGTGGTAAGAATAGGCGTCAATTAACAACATTCCAGTTTCATGGTGTGCAGACTTGCTTGTTCAGCTCACACGGGGCTCATTGGGCCCCGCTTGCACCATGAGACAACCGGTAGCACTGTTGATCGTTGCCTTGCTGGCTGTCGGCTCCCTTGCGCTCGGGGAGGCCCAGCTGCGGCCAGCGGAGTGCAGGAACGAGAATTTTGTGGTCAACGGACAGGGTACATCCAATGTCCTTGATGGCAAGGGCGAGGCCGCCACGACTGAGCTTCCCACCAACGTTGCTGCCAGTGTCAATGCATTTGGGTTCAAGCTCTTTGACAATGTCCTGCCCAAGGTGGGGCAACTGGAACAGTCTTGTTCTTTGGGACAAACATGTGTTGGCCACCTAAAGGGAATGTTTCACTGTGAAGGAACATTTTGAGCAAGTTGGGAACAACAGCAAAGTACACTGCTGGTATCAGTTACTACCTTATCTGCTGGTGCTGCTACCACCTGATGTATGTCAACTCCTTTGAATTCGTGAGAAACAATACTTGGCTGCTATTGCTGAGGAAAGAGAAACGAGTAGAGTGGGCAACACCTCCAGCAGGAATTGGCAATATTCTGTTTTGCATCGTGAAATGTGGTCTGGAAGTTTCTAAAGGCAGGCAGAAAATGCCAACACTGTGCACTATGTGGACCAATAAGTCACATGTTCAAAGCAGAATCATATGAATAGAGTAGAAAACATGTGGGGTTCCACACAACGAGTTGTGTGCACAACATCCTTGGAACACAGGCAAAATTTACCCGGAAAAGGTGCATATATTATGTCTATGCCTTGTGCCCACTTGGCTGGAAAGGCTGTTCCAATGTCCTTCTTATTCTGAAATATGAGTTCAAAAATATCGTACATTCAGAAATTTAGTTCTGAAGGTTGTTGTGCAGACTTGCAATCTGGGGGACACTGACCAAACAACGATCTCATTTCTTCGTGCCCATCATCTACTGGAAGGACGTTTAATTGGTAGCAACTGCATGACAGGCAACATACAATTGCAAAAACTACTGTGACACAAATGTCAACCAGTTTCAGTTTGCAATCGCAAGGGAATTGCCCTTGTGAGTACCCTGTTTGACAAGCTTTCATTGTCTATACTGTATACATGTTATGTAACGCATGATCTGTAATTTATTGTCTCTTTGCAGTCATGTGTTATAACAATGTACTTATTTATTTATTTTCATTTATACAATCATGCTGATTATTGGATATTGACAACTGCAAATCATGCAATTTCCAAAGGTCGAGGATGGGAATGTGGTGTTTTCTCCCCTGAGCCTGGCAGCGTCAATGTCGCTGCTGCACATCGGGGCAGCCAACGAGACACAAGAGGAGATCGGCTTGGTGCTGGAGTACGTGAGCGAGTGCTACCCATTCGTCCTGCAGGACCTGCTGGAGGGGTACAAGGACCCAGAGGTGTCAGAACAGGTGACTGCAGGATATGAGATGTGCAGAATTAAGTGACGTTGAATGTGAATGGATAATTACTTGATGGTGGAAATGTGGTAGGTCGGAAGATGGAGAGAACATAGAATGGGTCAAGGAGTGGGCTGCTGCCTCCTTGGCTTCATGTGTGGTATTTTTGGTTGGCTTAGGAATGCAGGTGGAAATGTTGTGGTGATATGGAACTTGTACTTTTTGGTTTATGCTGCACGATCTTTTGCTGATGCCAGCTGCCATAGTCTTGTGTCAAGTCTGAGCAGCTGGAACAGCAGTTTGGTTTATGCAGTGGCATTGTTCATCACCAAGCACTCAACGATCCAGAAACGTAGTGAATGAGCACTGCCCTGTCCCAACAGGTGTCGCTGGCCACAAGGCTGTACGTCCAGGCTGGCCTCGACATCAAGGAAGACTTCATAGACACCGTGGGTGAGGACAATGTGCAAAAGACAGACTTCGCAAATTCCGAGAATGTGACCCAGGAAGTCAATGACTGGGTGGCGAATCAGACCAGGGGCCTCATCAAGGACTTGCTGGCACCCGGGCAGCTGGACGTCTCCACCGTGATGGCTCTTGTGAACGCCCTGTACTTTCAGGGTGCTTGGATGAGCCCCTTCGAATCTGAGAACACTTTCAAGGGGATGTTCAATGGGACGAAAGGGGTTGTGGAGACCGACTTCATGAACCAGACCATCAGCAATGTCAAGTTCGACCCAGATGAGCAGGTAGGGCTATTTTCCGTTTTAGTCTCAAGAATACCGGATTTGACACTGGAATTGGAAAGAGAAAAATTCTGTTTGGGACTGCTTCCTTTTGGAGGAGAAGGCACAGCAAATCCACGCAAGCAGAAGTGAATGTGAGCCCCCATTAGCCACAGCCTCGGCTGTCAAACTTATGTGGGTGCACGTCTGACAAGAGGCAGGCAATAGGTTTGATGAGATTTTGTCAGGATAAAACTTGACGGAGAGGAAACTTGTTGCACTATTGGGGCTCTGCCCAAAGCAAGCAGTTGGAATCAATGAGATCAATAAAGTATAGCTATGCTCACCCATGCCTGGCTTGCAACCAACGCGAACACATAAACAGAAATCTATATTCTAAGTACAACCAAACAGCAGTCATGTGTGAAGCAGAATTCTATTTCCCGACAAAATGGAGTTGCGGCTAACCAGCACTCGTGTGTGCAAGATACTGGAGCTGCCCTACCAGGGCGGCAGGTTCAGCATGGTCGTCATGCTTGCGCCCAATCCTGGCGACGACGTGTCCTCCCTGCTCTCCCTGGGGCCCATCCTGGTGCCCTCGGTCCTGGACGACCCTGCCTTTGGCTTCTCGACAGTCAAAGTCAACTTCCCGAAATTCAGCTTCGAGCAGGAGCACGACCTGACGTCGATCCTCCCAGAGCTGGGCATCGAGAAGGTGTTCACCAATGAGGCGGACCTCAGCGGCATATCTGATGTGCCGCTCAAGGTGGACGCGGCTGTGCACAAGGCCAGAATAACAGTGAGTCCCATCGTTCTTTTCTTCTCTCTTTTGCAAAGATAAAACGAAAGAGCACAAGGGTGCTCTTTCTTCTTATCTTTGCTCCATGCTTTGCCATTTGCTGATTCCGATTTTTTCTATGCAAGAGCTGATCGGCTTGTGCAAGTTCCATGCCCAGTACTTACATTCTTCCTCATCATTGCCCTTCAACTTGAGAAACCATTACTTGGCTGTGAGGATGCTCATTGTGTTGTGCTGTGCCACTGCCAGTGTTACTGGACCTGGCAGCTGTCCTGATTTCGGGCACCTGGCAGCTGTCCTGATTTGGAGCATGTCCTTCGTCGCAATCTGTTTGGGAATTGGCTTGTTGATGACAAATGCAGCCCATTCAAATACTTTTTCTTGGCTATCCGAATGTTCTATTTCTGGTTCTATACTTATTGAACGAGACGTACAAGATCCTACCAGATTGAAACAACTCAGCCAGCAGTGAATCTGGGCAGGTAGTAGGCGAGGGCATACAGTAGGCGCAGGGCGCTTAGGCGTCAAGATGGCAAGAAAGCACTTTAGCATCTTGTCCCCAGGCCATATGGTCACCTTTCTCTGGAGTTAAAGGCGTAGCAGGAGGTTGGCATCTGCAACAATGATCTTTAGCCACGCAGCTTTGATGTGGCCCCATTGTGCTCACATAAATGCACTTTTTGCACAACTAACAGCATGTCTTCATGGCGGTTTTGTTGCGATTTCGCGTCAATATTGGGCGTGACTCAACATCAGCCAGTCCTGCTCCCTGCTGAGAATGTGAACCAATTGGACAGTGTTGCAATCTGGGGCCAGCCACAAGATGCGGGCTCTGGAACGTCGAGGGCAATAAATGCGTGGCATCCCCCACTGCACTAAGGATTGCTGGGGGACTCCTTGTGGATTTGTGAACAATACTAGTCCCTTTTCTTGTATAGTCACCTTCTGTGTGCATGCACTGCCCGCCACTGACACATTCCATGTTTGCGAACAATTTCGACCCACATTTGAGTCTGGCATGAATGGGACCCAATCTTTAATCCTAATGCCATACATGCCATATTTGCCGTGTACGTCACATGCGCTGCGTAAGCCACACACGCCATGTATGTCACACATGCCTTACATGCCATATAGGCTGTGCTTGTGGGCTTTATTCAATCGAAGGCGCATGGATGCAATCAATCAAGAATCACTGCCTTCGCACCCGTGAGTCCTTTTCACACCAGTTCCCTGACTCTTCGGCTCTCCCCACAGGTGGACGAGGAGGGCACGGAGGCGGCGGCCGCGGATGCCAGCCTCATAGTGCCCCTGTTCAGTCTGGAGAACTCCTTCGTGGCAGACAGGCCATTCATCTTCATGATCCGGGACAACGCCAGCAAACTGTTCCTGTTCATGGGTGCGTACTCGAACCCCAAATCATGAGCCTGGGCTAAGGCGTAAAAGCGTAATGGCGTAACAGCGTAACAACGAAACAACGTAACGGCGCAAGTGTGTGAAGGTTTGCCAGATGTTGGGGCAAGGCGCATGTGGCGGTGGCTGTGGCGTTAAACTGGTACGGTGGTTTGGGGGCGGTGTAGGAATAGTGGCGGGGTCTGCTGGAGCGGTGGTTTGGGTGGATGTTGCGCATGGGGGTTTTGGCGGGCGGCGTGGTGCCGCCATTTCTGTCCCGGTCGGGGTCTGGCTCCAGGGTCTGGAGCCGGACATACGGACAACCCGCACATGCGGGTTGTGGGGGGCGTCAAATGTGCAGCTTCGCTGGAGTACTAGCCCAGCAGCACATTTGCCTAAAGTACGGGCATGCATGTGCACAGCACGTCTCTGGGTCACCAACACTCGAGGGTTAGGGTTCCGCTGTCAAGGGCTCAAGGCTGGGGAGCATGGGTTTGGCGAAGGGCCATATTTTAATCGTTTCTTGCCATCGTATTCAAATCATTTTTGCACTTCCACTTGTGGCCTCAAGGAGTGTCGGTGCCCTGCATTGGAGAGGTAAGGATGGGCATGGCCCCGCCGTTGCTTGTGAGGGAGCCCCTTAAACTACTGTAACTGGAGCTTATACTAAAGCTAAGTAGCTTTTAGCGAACAGCACTTATTATTTGTTAGTAACTACTTCCAAGTACTTCGAGGTATTGCTTACGAGTACAACTGTTAGTATGGTCAGTTGCTGTTACTACTGTTGTCACCAATGTTAGTGGGACAAGTGGTGGATAAGAGGCTCTCACCCTCTGTTGCTCAGCATGGGAGTGGTGCAGTACCACTAGGGTACATTGTCAGACGCCAACGCATGGAAAGACAATTTCCCAGCTAAATTCCTTTCGTTCAACACGCCTTCAACAGGCAGCGCTGGGCCCTTGCACCTTGCGGGCGATAACGGCATACACACATTCGGAACGTATTTCTTTCCTTCCTCCGCTCGTGTTCTCCGCTCGCGACCCGCTTGCAGGGCATGCAGACAATGGTCGAAGCCTTGGAGGAAGAACTAAGTTGAATTGTCAAATGGACATGTCGATGACGAGGAAACTCCGTTCCACCCGGAGAAGACGATAGACATGAGTCAGAGAACGTACAGCTTCCTAATTTCGGACCCCACACGAGCTTTCCCCCACCTTACCGCCGAATCTGTGAGTCCCGTTCTGGTTGATTCCGAGCACAAAGTCATTTGGGACTTAGCGCCTGGGGCCTCGGGTGTTGCGATTGACCATGACACAATTGCACTAGTTTTATAACATGCCAGTCGTCGGGAGCTGCTGCGGGCCGGTTGAAATGAAGGCAATTGAGAGAAATGCGCGCCCCATCCTTGATACAAAACGTGTGCCTACACCTCGGCGGCGGCACTGTATTGCATTGACGAAGGAACAAGTGACGGCAGAATTTGTGGGGTGAAAAACTCGGAAGACAACGAATGCAAACAAAGCACGCGTACTATCTGGGCCTGACCACCGCAACCCACGTGGTGCGGCTGGTGGCCAGCATTCCTTCATTAGTACTTCCAGAAGTAGTACGTCTACATGTAGCAATACACGGTATTCCTTGAGAGATACTCCTGCAAGTAGTACTTTCACATGTTGTACTCATTCACGTGGAATACCCCAATGTATCCTCCCAATTGCCGGTCCTGCACGACGACCACAAGCCGTCAGCCGCTCACGACCTCCCGAGGAGCGTGTGGCCACCGCCGCAAAAGTCAGAACACAGGCTCGCAACGGTGCCGCTGGTTGCGCCTGTTGTTCAGTTCGATGGCCATTGTCGAAAAAGTTCGTGCGCGTTGCCGCGCGTCCTGGAGGTCATGTTTGCGGGGACGCAATGTGCGCTTTCCCTTGGTAGCCATTGCTGACATTGACAACGACAGCGACAGTGACACTGCTAACATTGACAACCGAAGCCCCTCCACCCACAAGGCGGATGTGAGCAGTCTCACTATCCGCAGTGCCCGAAACTAACCCGAGAAGCCCAATCCATCGGGGGTAAATTGTTGACGGGGAAGTGGGTGTGTGGGTGGGATGTGGTCGGCGAGTTCTTTAGGCGAGAGGGAAACCTACCGCAAACAGCCCCGTGGCAGATGGCAACAAAGGGGTCTAACGTGCCGATGATTCTGAGTGTTCTGAGTGACTCTAAATGTCTCTTCTACGTTGAGTGAAAGGAAAGAAACGTGTCGTGCAGCGGCACCGCCCTGAGCAATCTAGTGAGACTCATATCCATACTGTAAACGATGGTGTAGAAATTTCAAAAGGCAGGGAAAGCGCACACAAGTGGACGGGACATGCACAGCAACAACATCAGAGGGATCAGAGGGATCTGAGGGACCCGTTTTGTGTGCATGGAAGCTCGTGAGCACTGTTCAAAGTATCCGCCAGACGTGGCCCGCCTGCTCGATGCCCTTGCACCTGGAAGGAGACTTCTCCACAGCTGTGGCCAAGAGAACAATTGCTATGGGTGGTCGCAGCTTCCCAGTGCTATTGCTCCCAGGGTTGTCCCGAGGCAAAGACAAAGGACAGCTGCCCCTGTCGGCAGCATCTGCCCACGCTGGCATTCTGTTTGCCTTGCTTTGAGATCCACCATCGTGTGTGGCACATGCACTAAAGACCTCTGAAGGCAATGCAGCGCCCTTGCACCTTGTCGGCAATGACAGGCGCACACACCAATATTGGTATGCATTAATGCATACATCTATATTTCAGGAACCCTGATTCGAAATTTTCAGGCACTCGAGAGCATCGTCCTTTATCCTGAACAGACTAAAGCATCCCACAGTGGTTTGTGGCAAGTATGTCAGAATTGCCAGTAAAAAGGCGGAAAGCAGACAGATCCTGTGGTCAGGTGCGCGCAACAATCTGGTCCATTCAGGCACATTTTCACAGAAACCCATACTGTACGTATAACAGACCACTTCCATTATACGTTGTGGCCGATGCTGCAAGCAAATTGCCCTGAAGAAGTGATTTTGCAGTGTTTTCATTAAAACATGATGGCCTGTTATAACAGGCTATCATTCAAAATAAACTTTATATTATGTGGCTTTTTAATTTTGGCAAGCTGATCCAAATGGTCGGTCACAATGGATGGCAGGAAAATCGCTCTACCCTGTGAAAATGTGCCACATGTTGGAGAAGTTGTATTGATCAGCGTACTTTCGGTGCAGCCAGTGACCATTTATAAATTCCCTATGCCCCCAAAGCAGGGATAGTACATCACGGCATTTGCATCCATGTTTCAGGAATGGCAAGTGCAGCCACAGTGTGGGTTAAAGAGTCTTTTTCTGTGGTCTTGGGAATTGTCCAATCCGTGTTGCAGTATGCCCGGTGTTGTTGGCATTTGACTCTGCCAATTGAACAATCAGGTCAAAAATGCTTAAAAAAGTGGGCTGAGGCGAAAAGAAATACTCAGGTTCATTTGTATGAACACCAATTGTAATCATTTTTTGATTGCAAGTTATCTTTCAAGGGCCTTTGTCGACTTGCCTCCGAAGCAGAGGCAACTGTTTCCAGTGTCAATGACAAAACTGTACCCCACACGGGCATATTGTTTGTATCTGCTAGAAAATGGCCGATTGCAGTTCAACGCGCGTGTTTTCGCATCTCCAGAGTGCGTGTGCACACAATCCAGTACTATGTGGCCATGTGCAGAAATGATGCCCTTCTGTGGTGCACATGTGCCCATGTGAAGTGTGGGGCAGCCTTTTGCCCTGTGTGCTGGAAAGTGTTCGGGAAGCTTTTGAGGACGATGGCACTAGGAAAAAACAGGCCAGATGACACAGTCTTGACACGGTTTGCTCAAAATCCAACCGTGTACTTTCGGCAAGTGTGGTCCCAAAAGTACACAGTTAGTATACACATTGACACAGTTTCAACCGTGCATCCTAGGAAACCGTGTAGTATACACAGTTGTGTGAGGGTACACGGTTGAAACTGTGTCAATGTGTATACTAACTGTGTACCTTTGGGACCACATTTGCCGAAAGTACACGGTTGTATTTTGATCAGACCGTGTCAGTACTGTGTCATCTGGCCTGTTTTTTCCTAGTGCGAGGCGGCCAGCTTTCTGGTCCTCGCACGGCAAATCAATCACCACTGGCACCAGTGCTCGACAGAGACTGTTCAATGCCTTGGGGAGGTGCTCCTGTGCAACAATTGGCCCAATTGTTCGGATCCAAATTTCCAGGCGTGAAGACATTGACACTGCGATATCCCCGAAATGCATTGGACCATTGTTGGCGTCTCTAACTGCTTTTGCGCACTGGGTTTATCTCGACTTGGGAGAACTTTAGTAGCCGCCAGGTGTTGTGCAATGGATCTGCGGTGGCCATAGCAGCATGTATGGCCCTGGCCTGGCTGAGTGCCAGCAGGTTTATACTTCCTCCGTCCCATATTAATTGTCGTCTATTTGAGAGAAAATCTCGTCATGAAAACGTCATCCAAATTTCAAATGAAGGCCACAACCGGAAAGATTGACTTTCAGAACCCTCAAGTTCGAATTTTCAAGAAAAAATATTTAGCCCTCGCCCCTGTGAGCTGCCACCCAAAATTGCCCTAACATGGTCCAAAAAATGCACGTTCAATTTCCGCGGTCTTGCAGGCCCCTCTGGTTTGGGGGCGCTCCCGTGCCTAGGAATTGCTACGCTAGTGGTTGCCACCATTGCGGCAAAGGATGGAGTCTGGCAAATGGCATAGCACTTGCCAAACACAATCAAACGCGCATTTGTCCTTGTCTGAGGCGGCCATTGTCATAGCATTGACGATGCCAGAAATCGTCTCTTTTCTTGATCTCCGATGGGTGGATCTCCAACGAGCGGAAAGGCCAACGTATACAACCTTGAAGCCTAGGATCAGTACGTTCTGTCGCTCCAAGGCTGTTTGGTAGCCTTGCCCAGACATTTCGCCTTAGTTGATGCTTGAATCGGGGCTTGCGTGGGCCCCTTAACTGGAAGCCCAAAAATTGCCACTGTTTGTGGATACAATGGCTGATGCTTGTGTGTGGTACACAATCTGTTGGAACCTAGCAAGACTCCATCACTCCAAAAGACCCGAATTCACCTTTTTGGCCATCTTCCTTGCACCCAATCCTCTGAAGTTCCAAAACAAGGACAAATCTCCATTCCTATGGTGATTTCTAATTCACTAATTGTTCGTGCTATATTGATATGATAGCCATCACCATCTCTGGCTCCCTGTTGAAAGGATTGGTAGACCTCCCTCAGCTGCTTTGGCGGAGATAAAGGAGCTCGAAAGCCTTTGACCCCAAAAATCTGGGTCCGGAACATCACTCTGATCCCCCAGATCAAGCCTAAATCGATGCTGCGAGCCACGGCGAGTTCGACGATCAATGCATTCGAAACGTGTTTTCTATCGCCTTACCTCTTTGCAAGGACCCAAACGAACTCGGCTCTGAGCGGCATGAGTAGTTTTGCAAGGACGGGTTTGTTTCGCTGCCGCGAAGGAGTGCTCCTCAAAACAGCCAAAAACAGCTGTTTTTCGGCACGACGTCCAGAAACGACTCTTTTCTGGCCAGAGCAGCCTTGCTACGAAGTACTGTCAAATCCTCAAAACTTAATGGATGGATTTGAAATTTTGGTAGTACACTCCAACCTCCCAATCACAACTTTAGGACAAATTTGATCAAAAACCGATTTACTTACGATGGGTAAATAACGTCTCAAAGTCATAGACGACAATTAATATGGGACGGAGGAAGTACAAAGGTTCAAGAGTCCAGACGCATCACAGATGGTGTTCCGAAGCATCTGATGGGAATGATGAACATAATTTTTCTGATCTTCAGGAAATGCTTGTATATGGCTTGGGGAGGCCTGGCACACTTGGCAACCCTACCTGCATTGCGGAAGTGGCAACTTTCCGAATGTAAAGGGATAACAGCCAGAGGAGTCAAGAACCTGACAAAGCCGCCTGTTCTGGAGGAGCTTGACGTAACAGGCTGTGCAAAAGTGGAAGATGCAGTGTTCGAGTGCCTGGCGGCACACATAAGCTTGGGGGGACTTTCGCTGGCGGGCAATGGCGTGACCCATTTGAGCCGGTGGAAACTCTCCACGCACTTGATGTGCGTGGCTGCTACGAATTGACGAAGGCAACTGCCAAGTTTTTGCCATCTTTGGGCTCCGCAACCATTCTGGCTTTTTATACAAAAGATGGTCCTAATAAACCCAACAAGATATCCTTTGCACCACCCAATGAGCTCTCATTGCCATCGTGCGAGGATATGAGCATCGCCGCGCCAGCCTTGTGACTCAGGTTCCTGTAGGATGTGGCAACAAGTCTCAAACGACTCACCTGGTTGATGTCGGTTGACAAATTCTATGTGAGCATTTACTTGGCAATGAGGAGCGTAGGAATGCTGACGGCCCTGACCAAGCAGCAACTGGAAGCAAAGGGGGAAAACTAGGTGATGACCGCTGTCCCATGGATCTGGGCCCTGTGCCACTGGCAGATCATTGACCCAACTGGGACCATTGACTGGCCTTGGTGACCTTGATTGGAATCATGAACTGGGCGTTGGGCACATATAGTGGCTTGGAATTTTCAGGCATCCCACCAAGCTTGTTCTATGGTGTGCGATAGAGTTCCACTGCCTCAGTTGCTTTGAGCTCTGGAGGGACTCAGGACCGTGTGCATGGGTGCTCGCAGGGGGCTTGGTGGAGTGATAAAAACCCTGAATTTTGGGAGCCAACTGCTGGAGAAACTGAGAGAGCTAACCAATTTGATTATTTTGGCATCTTTGACAGCGCTGCCCAAATTAGATTTATTCCACTGCAATTGGCACTCTGTATCAGACATTGCTTTGGAGCTCCTGGGCACTCTGAAGTCCCTTTGGTTGGGTCCATGCACGGCATTCATTCATGGATGGCATGGGGTGCTTGGCGTGCGCGACGTCCTTGACTAAATTGCACGTGGTTGATTTCAATGGGAGGCATGTTCGGGACAGCTTGCAACAATATCCGAATTTGTGCCATTTGTGCATTTTTGACACAAGTTCTCCGTGGCATATGCTTGAGCTACCTAGGATTGACCACCTGGAGGCACAGGGACTGCGTTTTCTCATGTTATCGCTGCTGTAAGAAGACTGTGTGGCCTTGTGTGATTGGATGCAGATCCAGAGAGATCATGCAACAGTCATATACCAGCATGGATGTTGATATACCGCTGAGCCCACTGACGTGGATGTTGAGGACGCCATTCTGCGTTTTTTTGAAGATTGCCTTGCTCTAGGGCCAGCAAGCATGCACTAGTACTCGGAGGCAAGACTTTTGCACCCGCGGCCCTGTAGCTTCAGAATGCTGCTTCATGTGGCCTGTGAATGGCGAGCAGGTTGCACCAACGCTGACACTTCTGGCGTCATCCACGTCACACCCACAGCTGCTTTCACCCAAATTTCCAGAATGATCGTCTGGATGGTGAACCTTCGTTTGCTCTTCTGCGAAAATGCCTGCCCCAGATATCGCTTTATTTTTAAGGCGATTTGTGCACTAATTGTCGAGGCACAAACCAGGAGTCAACAAGGTCGGCCAGCTGATGGCTGCAATTCCCCGAGTTTGATGCTGCGTTGTGTGACAGGGCGTTCTTCATATTCACGCACCTTTGGTTACATTGTGCCATTCGCGCCCTTAAGCGAACTTATGCGGTGTTTGAGGAGAGCACACTGAGGCCTCCGCAAGCAAGCCTATCGCTTGGACCCAGAGGTCCAACTGCCTTTCATGCGTGGGACTCATCCACCCATGGATGCCAACATCTTACAAGGGAAGTGTGGTGCAACCAAGTACCACAAAGTACGAAGCGTTGGCCTGTTATCCGAAAAATATTGTTGGAACAGACAAGAGGCTGCACTTGGCGTACTTTGATCAAGTTGCCCTGCGGCGACACATCTCTTTTCATCCATTTCATGTGCCGCAGTCTTTCCTTGAATCCAGGATCCATCTCTGTTTATTGATCATTTGTTGGTCGCCCAGTCAGAATCTTATGCTCGATCTCTTAATTCGGTTCATTAGAACAAATGAAGAGATAAATTCGATCTGTTTCGATTCATGATCTGGCAGAGCCCCCCGGTTGCTTCCCTTTCTTGAAACTGTGCATTTTGAGATTCGACAATCTTTGGGGCCCTAACATCGCCTTGCACTCTCTTGCTAGGTGGCACAAGGCTTGCATATCTTGTGATAGGACGGGGGGAGACGGTGGACACTGAAATGCGTTGAAATGCTTTGGAATATGAGAAACCCATGCTTGCGATGTATGTGCCTTTGTACTATGTGGCACATATGTCAGTACACTGACACAAGTCGCTGATACGCCATCTGTTGAGGCACATTCTAGGAATCATGAGCGGGAACAGCTGAGGGCCACAGTAGTGAACAAATTCTAAGGGGAAAAAAGGTAAAAGGAAGTGCTGCAATGTACAGAACCCCATACCACCTTTTCCAAGAAGGTAAGTGGCGTTTCACTTGTTGACATCTCCCTGATGCATGAGCGCACCTCCCGTTCCGGTGACACACTGCTAATCCAAACCCACTGAACTGGACACGTAGCCAGTTCTTTAGGTCGCAGATAGTTGAATCGCGCACAAGCACCGTAGTCCAGCATAACTCATCAATAGTACCCCTCGTTTTGCGCCTCCTTTTGTAAATGTGTCAAGAAACTCCGGCACAATCGCGAGAGGACGGGGAAAGCAGCTGGACACTGACATGTGATCTGATACTTCATACTTCATGCTGAAGTACTTTATTATATAGTACTTTATACTGAAGACTTCAGTACTTTGAGTCTAGAAAAGCTGGTGCAACTTCGGGTGTTGTGCCAACTAGCACACAAAAGAAGTATTGGAACAAAAATGCCTCAAACTGATATAGTGCGGAAACGGCTCTAAGCTGGGCTTTCGCGATTTCTCGAGACCACATCAAGAGCAGAAGTGCTTTTAAGAGTTCAGATTGCGGAATTAGATGCATCGCATTGATGGCGCATGCACGTCACTTACTGACGCCGTGATTTATTTTGCTGTAGGGCAAGGGTGGGAATTGTGTTCAGCTGGCGTCATTCGCTTAAGCGTTCTATAAGTGTTTTTGGTGGGAGTGTCTTGAGGATCCTACAAGCTTACAGGACACACGATCGGTTGCAGATGGACAACATCCCACAAATGTGTGATAAACAGTATTGCCGCTTTCTATATTATTTACTGTTTTTACCACTATTGCTATTTCATACTGCTTCTGGTTAGTCAGAAACACCCGCCAAGAGAGAAACATGCAAATATCGAAAAGCACCAGGTCTTGCACCGCTTTTCTCGAAATATGGTTCATTGTGCTCGCAAGCCAGCCCAGCATCTGCGGTAACGCGAAGCTGCAAGGACCGCGCAGTTCCGTCCTTTCACCACCAAAGATATAACGAGGAAAGTCAAAAATAGAAAAAATCCAAATAACACTTTTTGCGAACACATATAGATGCAATTCGTCAGTGTTTTGCATGCTGAAAACACGGAAATTAACACAAACCCGCAAAATCTGTACACATTTGAACACATGTCATTTGGCCCTTTTTTTCCTTGTGAATTCGACCAAGTCCAACGCAGCCAAACCCCTTCCCCGACATCCCAGAAATAGAAAGAAAAAGAACAAAAGACAAACAAATCAGAACAAAGAGGAACGCAAAACAGCAAAAAGGACCGAAAAGGCCACCGAGCACTGCCCGGCACAATTCGCCCTCCACCGCCCAGGGGTCCCCTCAGGCACCGACCTCGCGCTTCTGCTGCAGCAGGATGCTCTCCATGTTGGCAAACTCCTGCCGCTGGCCCTCCAGCTCGCCCCTCAGCCGCGCGATCATGGCGTCCTTGCCGCGAAGCGTCTCCGCCACGCGCCGCTCGACGGCGTCCAGCTCCGCGCACTGGGACTGGTACTGGGCGTCGATTCGCTGCGCCCGGAGTCGCAAGCAAAAAGTCAGCCAATGTACACGGTTTCGAATCGTGTAAGTTTCGTGTGAGGCCCCGCCGAAACGGGCAAGCATCGTGTGCACTGGGAAGCATCGTGTGCACTGCCCACTGGCCGTCACTACAAGGGTTGGTCCCATTCTAATACGATAAGTACAGGATAAATACACGATTTTACACGAATTCTCCACGTTCAATCCACGTTTCAATCGCGTTACAAGGTACTCGATTTTGAAAACAGTATATTTTGGCCCATTCTTACTAATGAGTGTGGGCGGACAGTGGCACACAGAGCTACTGTAGTAAATCAATCCAAGCGAAACCGTTATTGCAAACTATTGTACTATTAATTTTCAACACTTGTAAAGCAAGAAGTACCCCCAAAAAATTACATATTATTGCAAAATTGAGCCAAGATTGAGTGGTGCCAGCAATGCCCGTGTGGCCAACTGCTGCGCGGCTGCCGCCCACCTGCAGCTTGTTGGATGCAGCGGCCTTCTCCTGCACGGCAGCCTCGATGGCCTTCCTGTACGACTCGTCCTTCATCGCGAAGGACCTCCGAAGGTCCGCCTCCCTCTGGCGAGCGGCCTCCTGTTGCCGTGCGGCCTTCGCAGAGGACAGTTTTTTTGGACAGGCGCCAGTGCGTAACGCCGGCAACGCTACAAGTGCAGTACTTCAAAGCTGTTGCATGAAACGCGTGTTACAAGATTTGGTAATGTACGCCCTGGCGGTAAATGCGACCATTTCGCTATGCGCTCAGTGGCATGAAACCTGTGCACATATAGGCCATTTCAGCTGCAAATTCCTGGGAGCAGTTCAAATCATGTATGACAGGTGCGACCCGCGTTATGCATGGACTGGTTGGCATTAGATTTTTGGTTGAAATTTCCGTCAGTGAGTGGAAATCGATGCACATGCATGTGCACATGCAGCAGCGCGCATCTTTCGTACTAAACTAAGGAACTAAGGAAGATCCCACTTCTGACACCCCGCATACGGGCACATGACCGACATGGTCTGAAGCCGCAAGGGCTGCTTTTCGCCACTTCGCACGAGGCGGCACATCGAATACTTTTAAAATCACCAAAACCATTACGACACACAACGAAAGAAACACAAGTGTTGCTTAATCAAACTACATGCAAATTGCAAAAATACCAAATACAGACACGAATACAAGTCCAAACGTAACTTATATTCTCCGAGAGAGAGCAACCACTTGGGTGAGAACATCGTTGGGAACTTTGCATCGCCTTGCATTCGCTTGCTAGGTGGCACAAGTTCCGTGCATCTAATTGCAGGACCGAGTTGCCACCTGGACGCTGGGGTGTGATGCACTATAGTGCATCACCAGTGCTAGTATGGATTCGGATTTAGCGTGCAAGAATAATTGGAAACACAAAGCAAAAGATGCCCCGTAAGAAAGATTCGCACCTGGTCCTCGAGGCTCTTCACGGCTTCCCTGTGCCGCACCTTCTCTTCTGCCAGGCCCTTGGCGTGCTCCGCCGCCAGATGCCTGGCCCTCTCGGCGTCCTCCCTGGCGGCGCGCTCCCGTTCGCCCGCCTCCCTGGCGGACTCCTGCGCCCGCGAGGCGGCGTCGCAGAGCTGGGACTCGCGGCGCTGGACCTCGGCTTCCCTGGACTTGTTCTCGGCCTCCAGGCGGCTGATGACGACCTGTACGGGCAAGCCAACGCCAACGAATTTTACTCATGCATTGAAGGCATGCAATTGTTTGACCACTTGGTTGTGTAGTTGTATGGCTTTTGGCGGGCTTGGTCTTTGGGTCTACGGCTCCATTTTTCTGTTTATGTTTCTACGCGTAAAAGTTGCGCAAATGGATAAACACCCAATTTTTTGGCCATAATTACGCGTATCTATGGCTCCTCGAGACGCTCAGGTAACATGATGATGTCGCAATCAACGATCATTCCTCAAATATCTCCAGCACTGGCAACACACTATCTGCTCGGTTTTCGCTCCCATCATCGCCTACCAGGTGCACGGGCTGTGTTTTGTCATTTTGCGACAAATGTAACGCATGGATTTCGATGATGATGAGCACTGGCAACGCAGCGCTCACCTCCCCCTCATCAAGGGCAACGACGCCGCTGATCAAACGATCGTCATATGTGCACATTAGCGTATCTAGCTGCCGCTCTCCAGACTTCCCTGAGTCTGTGTGTACCGTCTTTAAGTACACAAGTCCCATTTTTACCCATTTGACTGCTATTCACGTGTATGCGTAAATAGCCAACAATAACGTGCGGTGTTCCAATCGTCTTGGTATGGATAGTTATGCTTATTTAACAGTGGCTTTCGCCGTTGTCACGGAGCGAACGCTGTGGGTTGTTGGGACTGCTTCTCACTCAAATCCCTTTAACGCATTTGCCCACACATTGACAAACCACAGGCCATGCGCCTGACTGCCACTGCACATGCGTTCATGATGGGCAACGTCGCACTGTTTCCGTTACACAGAGATTAGACTCTCACCGATACGGGTATCAGAACAGGCACCAAGGCTGGCAACGGTACAAGGATAGAGACTAGCGCATGAACCAGTTTTTAGGGTTTAGGGCTTTTGTTCTTTCAAGGTTTTATGTTTTAGACTTTCTGCGGTTTACCATCTCGTATCGGCACAGGTACCAGTACCTACCTGCCATAATATATTCAAACATTTCTGGACAGAAACTTTACTGTTATGCTTTCCGCTCTGCGTTTTGTATTTCACCTTTTTTGGGGTGGCGGAGGGGGGGGTGCTCCGCCAAAAATGGCCAAAGCGTTACGTTGCTGTGAGGGAGGGTTGCATACTTTACGTATTGTCTGCATATTCGGAACGCCCTTGAGGATGCAGGTACTGGTGCACTGCCCAGGCCTTGCGCCTTCCACGCGCAGCAACCATTACGAAAACAGAACAGCCACGGCAGAGTCTCGCGAAGCATTGAGTCCCGCACCCACTTTCACCCAAAAGCGTCGAAGCCCCTCGGGGGACGGCACCACCTCAATCTGCTTAAGCCCGTGCCTACCGAATAGAAAACAAGGTAAAAAGACAAAATAACCAAAAAACGAAATAACCCTGCCGCAAAACCGCCACAACAACCAATCGGTACTGTTGTACTGAAGCGCTGAAGCACCGATGCACTGAGGCACTGAACCCCGCACTCACCTCGACCCGGTGGGTATCCAAGCCCCTCGGAGCGCCACCAGCGCAATGTGCCCAGCACTAATAAAAAATAGGCCAAAATACACGGTTTCGAAAATCGTGTACCGGGTAACACGATTGAAAATCGGGCAAAGTGTTTGATCGTGCATTTGTCGCACAAAAATGGGACCAAGCCGTGCAGTAACGATGGAGTGAGTGCACATGATTTCAACACGGTTTGACACGGTTTTGCATTAGTTTTACACGGTTCAAGAACTTTTTTTGTTTTAACTTGTACCAAGCCATCCCTCGACTGAGTCCCCACCTCAAGTTCCTCGTCGCGCTCCCTTGTAATCCGCTCCCTGAACTTCTCGAGCTCCGCCCGCATCTGCTGCTCCGCCCTCTCGCGCACCATCTCCTTCCAGCCCTCCCTCTGGGCGCCGCACTCCTCGCGCAGGCGGTCCATGGCCTTGGCGTGCTCCCTCTCTTTCGCGGACAGCTCTCTGAAACGCGCCAAACCGCGTGACAAGACTTTCTTTCCATTGTCGCATAGCATTCACAAATAAAAACCACACATTCGCAATGCGCACTGAGATACCATTTGACGTATATTGATACAATCGCACCCAACTTCTGTGCCATCGCCATGAATGTGATGGTGCACCTTTGTGTGAAAAGGTAAATATTCCTTTTCCTTGGCTTAAAGTATTGCATACGAAGCAATTCAACGATAGACTGCTCCTCTTTCTGGTTCCGACACACTGCATTTTCTGCTCATATCTCATTCCGCTAGCTGCTTGTTCTGCATAATAAGCAGCTTCGGAAGAAAATATACGATTCTGGAGTAAGAAATTCAGAGTCCAGGTGACACTAGGGAAAAAAGGGCCAAATAACACGTGTTCAAACGTGTAAAAGGTTTACGGGTTTGTGTTATTTTTGTGTTCTTGGCGTGCAGAGCTTTGATAAAATGTGTTTTATGTGTGTTTGCAAAACTGTTATTTGGTCCTTTTTTGCTAGTGTGAAACGCCCGTCCTGCTAGTACAGACGTTGGGAGTCCTCCACATGGTCAGAAATTGAATGGCGCTACAAGGTCGCAGAAGGCGGCCCTGGAGCAATTGACTCCTCTGAACGCACACGCCCACTGACATCGTTTTGAGCAGCTGCGCGATGCTGAGGCGCAACGACAAACACAGATCCTGTCGCCATTTGATCCCCGCACCTGCAGAAGCCAGGTTGAGAATTAAGCGCCACCAAGTTCTCACGTCACATCCACTATACCGTGGAGTGAGCTACACGATTAGGAGCGCACGAAGCGCGATCAAAACCACTGCGCAAAACCCCGAAACTTCGACATACCACCCCGACTATGTCTCCGATTCGATTCCCAGTGTTGTTCGATACGCTTGGATACGCTCGCAATTGTTCGATACGCTGTACTTGCAGTATGCGGATCGCGAAGGTCGCGAAGCGCATTTCAAGTTATTAAGGCTTTCAAGTTTCGGTTTCTTAGCATGCCGGAATGGCAGGGACCGGACAAGCCTCCGACAACCCCACCTGCGGAACTCGTCTTGGGCCCTCTGCTCCGCATCCTCGTGCTCCCGCCTCGCCCTCGCGACCTCCGCCCCCCGCCTGCCCATAACACATGGGCTGCCTTCAGTGGAAGAGAAAAAGTGGGGCAAACACCATGGATTACCACGGATGGGGCATGAACTGTAATGTCTAAACTTTTGCATCAAGGGGGTCCCGAATTTTGTAGAGAAAATCTCTCCTCGCCTGTCCATCTGCGCCGCGTGCTGCGCCGCCAGGTCCTCCCTCTCCCGCGCCGCCTCCCCAAGCAGCTTGGTCCGCTCTGCGGCCAGCTCGCACTTGTGGTGCTCCGCCGCCTGCAGCAGCCGGCCGTGGGCCTCCACGCGCTCCTTCTCCACGGCGTCCTCGCGCTCCTGGAAACGGAGCCTTTTGTCTCTTCGGGATTTTCTGTAGTTTCTCTAGTCTCTGTACTTTCTGTAGCTTCTGTACTTTCTGTAGTTTCTGTAGTTTCTGTAGTTACTGTAGTTGACATTTGCGATTTCCAAGCATGTTGCTTGTTGTATGTGGTGCTCAACGTTCCGTCGGACAGTGCGCATGGAAGGGATTATTGAAGCAAGCATATTCAAATTTAAATGTGTGTGACAAATGCGCCTTGCTCACGAGGCTGAGAGCACAGTAACGCATGTGCGGCATTGCCCATACACTACGCTTCAATGATGCTGTCAGCATAACAGCACTGTTCGCTGCATACTGCACTGCCATATATCTCAGTCAAATACAGGGAGACTAAAGTACACTTCTGAAGACCTTCTATTACGACAGCTATATGGACGGCGAGGTACCAAAAAGGAGCAGAAAACTGTGCAAATGGAACCAAGCACACCGCTTGTCTTAAAATGCACAGGCACAAAGCCTCAAAATCACCCTTTCGAAAAAGGTGGTGCAGGAAAACACTACAAAAGTACTACTGAGCATTACACCAAATCTTTAAACAGTGCTACGTCATACGTTGCCAAGCGAAATCAAAAGATCGCAGGCGCTGGGGCTGGTGCGGGAACTATTCCGACCATCCCTATGGCCCTTTGACGTTAAGCGGACTGCTGCAAAAACCTCTGAACTTGCGCTCCATCCAGAACTAGGAAAAGGACTTGAACTTGAAACTAAACCCGGAACGTGCCCGAGAGCCAGCCTGCCATTATTCACGCTGCGGCACACTCACAGTCAGTCGCGCACAGGCCCCTCGAAAACACCAATAACGATGCAGCAAACGGCGAAACAAGCAAAACAGCGGTATGAAAAACAACGCAATAACATGTGCAAGTGGTGGACGCAAAGATATTACAAACACAAATGGAGAATGATGTTCGCGTATGGGCGCGGAGCGCCACTATGAGCGCCTGTTCATTTCCGGCCTGTCCCGCCAATGAACAATGGACAAGAGGTTCAAAACAGGTATACAATGCATATGCATCAATGAGGCACAAAATGTGCTTCTCTCTGTTGTAAGCGGGATTGATCACATCTTGAGAAATAGGACAAAGCGATAATGAAAACAAATGAGACAAACGAAAATGTGAAAATGCGTTCGCGTGTTGACGCGGAGTGCCATTTTGAGGAACCGGTCCCGCAGACGAACGGCAAGAAACAAGCAGCCACAATTGTTATGCAATACATATGCATCGATGAATCTCTGGTAGGAAACCATGAGTGCATCTTCAGAAATAGGAAAAATAAATGGTAACACAGATGCACCAAATGCAAATTAAGAAAATGTTCGCGTATTGACGCGGAGCGCCACCTTGAGGAGCCTGTCCCTCAGCTGCACGGTGTGCTTCTCGTAGTCAGCCACCATGGCCTCCTGGGCGGCCAGCCGCTCCTGCAGGCGCCGCGCCTGGCTCTTGTAGTCCTCCGCCATTTGCGTCACTTGGGGCTCGAGGGCCTGAAGAAACGGGCGGGAAGCAAGCGCCGGTGTCAGCCTGGGCCCGATGGCCCGAGGCGAGCAATGTTATACCTACGTGGATCATTGCCTGTAGGGCTAAAGCACTAGACAAACGTCGCGCTGGCTGCATTGACAAACTACTGGACGGTGTTGTACTGATTGTTTTGCTGAAATATTGGACAGGTGGGGTGCGGATCGTGGTGCAGATGTACTGGGCAATAGCGGAGCAGCAGTGAGATACTGGACAAGTACAATAAATCACTGTACAGTTTGAATTACTGTAATGACACCGTACAAAGCAAAGTACTCCATCTCGAGCAATTTTTGGTTTGCGCTCAAGCAGAGTCAAATTTCCGGCATCATAGCATTGACAATGCGAATTGCACACTAGTAACAACATGATCAATTGTCACTGGGGCGACTCATTTTAGCCGTGCTTTCGGGTGACCTCTTCTTCCAGCAGCACTACCGCACCCTGATGGTCTTTTCCTTGATTTCTTTGAGTTGCGCCTGCGTCCAGCGCTGCCTTCGAACTTTCTCGGCTGCGTTCCACCCGTCCCTCTGCCTCTTCAGCTCCGCCCTCCAACCCTCTTTCATGGCGGTCACCTCCCGCAGATGCTTCTCAGATTGTTCCTGCAGCGATTTGTGGATGAGGCCTAGCGTGCAGGTGCAGTGCAACAAGCGGGCAGGGCCGGGGGGCCCGAGCGTTTCGCCTTCCAAGGGAATGTGAGCAACGAACTTGATTAATCTTTTTTCGGTGGTGTTTCAGGAACGGCGCCAATGGCTGTCTTGCCCTACAATGTGCAAGCGCTAATATCCACGCACCACTGCTGTAGCGCTGCGTTTATCAAAACGTGGGAAGGATGACAAGATTTACGGTATTTTTGGAATCTTTTGTGAAGGCATAAAAAGAAATCCAGACTGTGCTATATCAACATTTTTTGAAGCCATTTAGAACATGAAGGTCTCTTGGTGAGCTGGAGTTCCTTGGATTCCTCAAGGAGCCACATAATACCAAGCCGCAGCATTGAAAACAATACTCAAAAACAATGTGTTATGGTGGGGGAGGACATGCACAGTATCAGCAATATATTTTGTTTATTGTTCTGAAATTGAAATATGCACAAGCATACATTCATTTTCCCTATTCTGTTTAATATATTATTGAAGCCTTGTTTGTTTCTGTTGCCTGTGTCTATTGTGTCTGTTGTGCCGTTGAGTTTAATCCGCTTCTCCATTCCAAGGCAATCTACAAGCCGAAACAAAACAGGCAGACGGTTCCTTGCAATCCCACATGTGGCGCTATGTGCGTGAGCAAACTACACCAAGATGCCCCTACCTTCAGTTCGCAGGCCAGCCTCTGGCACTGCTGCTCCAAGTTGGCCTTGTCCGCCAGCAGCCGGTCGATGAATTGCATATGGCTCTCGCGGTCAGCCAGCTGCTGGGCGTCATGCTTGTTCTGCAGGGCCTCCAGTTCCCGTGCCAGGCGCGCAGCGGCATCCTGCATCTCTTCTTGATGGCGTTTATTGGAGATCTCCATTTCCTGCTGGACACGGCGAGCCCGCATGCATTGGCACTCCCAACCTGGGTGCGTTCTTGACTGATGGAACATTTGTGGTAGGGTGGATGGGTGCCATTGCAAGGCACGAGCCACGCTGTCCATGATCGCCTTTTGAGATGATGGACAAGCGACGTAAGGCCAGCATCAGGACTAAAGCTGGGCACGCTGAATTGGGTTTATGGATGACCAAGGGTATGGCAAACGGAATTCGGCGGCTTTGAATTGTGTGGAACAAGCTGCCTTCGTCAGAGCTGAACAAACTCCTGGCTTGCTGATGCCATCTGGGAAACATTGCAGGTGCCATGGAAACCATGTGGGGCACCAGGACAGTGCACTTGACGCTGCATGATGCTCGTTGTGAAGAAATGAGTGCAAAGGCTCCTCCCTGTCTTGGAAATTCAACAAACGAAAATCATCGACCTGTAAAATCCTGTCCCAGATCATCAACATGACATTCATCCATACTCTATGTAACCATGTGGTCATGTGTACACACTGTGTCCTACACAGGACCCTGCGCACAAACATGACATGATTTATATGCCATATGCCATGTACTTGTTATGTTCGTTCACGTCTGTTATGGCCATTTACTACACAACCAGTATAACACAACGGCTCGCAGCAGCTGCCATGGAAACCCCCTTGAGCCAGGGGGGCTGGCAAGATAAAAGCCTGCCTTTCCAGAGAAGGGCACACAAACAAGATGGAGCACCCACACTTTTGTCTTGTGCACAGTAGGCCCAAATGGCAGATATCCAACCTTGTGGAGGGCAACGATCGTTGCATCCCGCCCCCTCTGCTCCTCCTCCAGCTTCCTTATCCTGTTCTGAAAGCCCTCGTACACAGAGTGTGCAAGTTGAGCAGACTTCTTGCCCAGGGATGCCATGCTGGTGACGCTCATAGTGTCTGCCGCAGACAGGGCGTCGTCGGCACCGGGGTGGTGGTGGTGCACGCTCTTCAGGGATGCTGAAGGGGCATTCTCAGATGAGGGCCTCAGGCCGTGCAGCACGTCCTGTCTCGGCAGTGCACTCACAGTCAGAATTTATTGAAACTTCACTCTGAGTGTGTTGGTGCTGAGTGAGTGCGGAGTTACTGCTTGGTTAGTACTGAATGGAGGAGCCTGTCCCAAACGCATGCCTCAGCGTGCAATCTAAGGCACTGTCAACTGACCAATATCCCAGGTTTGTGCAGCACATGATCTGCACAGCTCCATTCGGATCCTGTGAACAGTTGTATCTCAATATTATGCGAACATTTTGCAAATAATATTGGTGAACAATTGTAAAGTGCCGCCCTGCACAGGGACAAGTGCAGCGAAGTTGCAGGTGCTCACGCTGTCAAGCGCTGGAACACCACAAGTACCAAGTACCAAGTACCAAGTACCAAGTACCAAGTACCAAGTACCAAGTACCAAGTACCAAGTACCAAGTACCAAGTATACGTTTTCTGGAGCCGCCCCTGCCCACCTGCTGTTCGGATCGATCCAGCAGCTCTAAAATGCTGCTTGCCTTGTGGCTGGCCCTCGTGGCACCCCCGATCCCCAACGCAGATCCCGTCACACTGCCATGGGGAGTGAATATCGAGCCCGTGCGCCCGGCCAGCTCCAGAGACTCAACCATCGGCCTCTTTGATCCCGTGGCAAACAGGGACCCGTCTCTCGGCCACAGGGACATCTCAGTGATGCGGTCTGCATCCATCAGAGCAAGATCTTGATGAATATAGATGGTTAAGCCAGAGCAGGAACCTGATGTTCTATTGTCCATTTCAATATGTTTTGAGGGTTGTTGAGGATAAGTGAGATCGATCTGAGCGAGGAGATTGGGATGCGTTGGTGTTGTCTGGCATGGTTGCCAGAACGTTGTCCGTTGTGTCCACGTTTTGTCCAAGTGGGCTGGGCAAGGGCTCTGGGCTGTGGACGCTCATTTCTGGGGCGAAGCTCTCCTCTTCAATTGCATCCCTTCCTTGGCGTATGGGCTCATTATGAGTGGCTCTTTGACAGCATTCCCCTTCCAGATTCAATGAAGGTGAGTTGTTTTCACAATCTTTGCATTTGCTCTGCTCCTTGGCCTGTGCAGCAACACTGTGGGTCAAAGCGATATGGTGCTGTAAACACAGGATCGATACTGAAAAAAGATTATAACTTGATGGCCACAACCTTGCAGCATTCTATGTTGAATCTGTCCTGGCACAGGGTAGGTATGGGGCGGTACCTTGTCTTTTAACTGTGATGCAATATTTGGAACGAAGAGAAAATAAAGATAACAACTCAAATAAAAAGGCTGGAACTCCAAACAAAATTGGAGCCTGGGCACACAGTAATGGCCAGGGCCAGTGCTTGCCAAGTGTGGTGGCTGCGCAAACAGGCAGAACTTTCTCTACTTGGTCAATCAGTAGATTGAACATCCATCCAAGCCAGAGATTCTCAATCCACACTTGGTTCAAGATTCATTTGCCATTTTGGGTGCCAGATGGCTTTACTCTCGAGGAATAGATTGCTGCAACATCGGCGCAGCCCGCAAGCGGAATGGCAACACTACTGCCAATGGATACAAATCAAATCAATACAACAGCACAATAACTTCCAACTAAATTCTTGGTCTCCAATGCATCCAAGCAATTTGAATGATCCATACGATGGTGGAGAGAAACAATGTCCTTATCAATATGGCTGCAGTGCTGTTGCTGTATGTGAATGGGAAGTGTACATCATGTGGAAACAGCACAGCATGTCAATCAGCGAAGCAACCGTGCCTCAAACGGGTACTATCAAAGCGGCCACGCGTGGGCTTACGGCAGCACCCTCCGCATGTTGCCCTGCTTGTTGCAAGCTGGATTGATGTCAGGGTATCAGCGTGTACCTTTGAGTCCTTTGCAACAACGAAAATGGGTAACATGCAATGGCCAGGAAATGGAGCCAGGCAATTATTGTTTCCTGGGAATTATGTGAGTGTGTTCAGATGGCTGACTTGACCTGATGTTGCTGCACACCACAGCATTTCATTTCGGTTTCAACAGATAACAAAGGTGGTCGCAAAGGGGCTCATGCTTCATCCCCGCTACACCAAGGACTGTGCAGTACATGCCACTGCAGCGAAATATAACCCTTCGGCATCCGAAAATTTTATCGTTACGCTTTTTGCTCCACACTTCATTTTCAGAGTGTTATATATATTTTCATATTTTTCCCTGAAGCCCGAGTATTACTATTCATTAATTTTTCTCTGCAAAAATGTCCAAGTGTTACGTGACTATGCGGAAGGGTTGAACATTTTACAGTACCTGGGAGAGCCCTTCAAAAAACGACGTCACCACTACTCGTCCATCTGTTCACAAGGGCCCCACGCACCTGGCTCTTGTATGCAATGGAATATTTCAGAATAAGAAAAGGGTTCCGTGAGAGCTTATTCTGGCATGTGAAGCACTATTCTGGAACACAAAAAAAGAGCTACAAAAAAGTTGTGCTCCATCAGCAGCACTCTTGTGCTGGGACACGCTGCAAATTGAGCTACAACCACAATGGATGAATTGATGACCATCTTGCTGTTGGCACCTTACAACCGCATCAATGTGTCATCTAAAGCGTTGCATCAATTGCGACTGTCTCTGAACTGTACCTTTTTACGTTGCTTGTATCGACTCCAGCGCATCTGTATGATGTAAGCTGCCATGTCTTCGATGAAGTTGTTGAGGCTCCGAGCGCTCATCTGCTTGGGCTCTCCACCAAGGCTGCTCACAGGTGACAAGCCCAGGCCCAGAGAGCCATCAGGCTTCAGTGACCATCTGCCATTGTGCCCCACAGCTCAACATGCAAAAGACCATGGCACACCCCCAAACACTGCCCGCTCCCATCCCCAACAGTCCATTCCACAACCCTGGAACCAGCGGCCATCATTTAAAGAATCATTCCAGGCAGCCAATCCTCGATGATGATGCTGCGCAGTGCATTGATCAGATTTCTGTGCATCTCTTTGTCCCACACAAACAAGGAAACGCGTATGCCAGACTCCAATTGACAGATGGCACACTCTTCAGAACGCCCCATGCAAGGAATGCCCACAGACACCCACATCAACTCTTCATGGTCTCATTGCCGAACAGCCCCCTTGTGTACTTTCAAGCCCTCTTAACATCCTCCCCACCCACTCTGCACCCCAGAGCATCACCTGCCCATTGTTTTGCTCCTTTCAAACCAGCCGCACAAATTGAAGAACAGAACGGCTCAGAAAGCAGTCAACCAATTTGTGCAACCTCAACCCACAGCATCCGCCACCCCACCACCAGGATCAGGACATCGCTCATAACGCAATGCCTGACAACACAGATGGTGAACCGAATAAAATGAACCGATGAGGGACAGAAAACCGCTCTTGGATACATACACACCCATCATCACCCATCACCCACAAGGCGCGGAAAGGGCACCGCTTTCGTCTTTCGAAGGCAATTTCGATTAATAGGTTTTGGATTGCCCCTCGAAGGCAATATCTAATCCATCCAATGGATTCTTCAATCCATTGAACACCCTTGCAACGAAAATGATGCATCGCAGCAGTGCAACAAAGCGCAAAGTTGTGCACCACTTCCTGCCAACAGTTTGCCAAGCGATTTCAGCCACCGCCCGGTCCCAGACCCTTCATTACATGTCCCTCGCCCCCTCCCCGTCGAAGCTCCGGCTGAGCAGCATACTGCTCAGGCAACCCAGGCTGCCGATCGATGCTGCTGACGACCTGTTGCTCGCATTGCGCCCCCCGGGGCGCCCGCCGCCCCTCCGCCGCGGCACCTCTGGCGACACGGCGCGCTGGGGGCCAAGGGGAGGGCTGGGGGGCTGGCATCGCCGGGCCCTGGAGCCTGCCTGGCTGGCATCTGGGCTGCTGTTCCTGCGGCTGCGGCCGCCCCGAAAATTGGCCTTGTTGTCTGCGGGGTGCGGGGGGAGGGGGAAAGAATGTGTTACAAAGAGAACAAGTCGCGCAAAGGGCAACCCTCCCTAAGGAAGGGGCTGGGGTTTGTTAAGAAAAAAAAGAGAAATTGGTAATACAAAAGGGGCCTCTCCAAAAAGGGGTAAAGATATGTGACAAAGAGGAAGGGAAACATGTCAAGCAAAAGGGCAACCCCTCCAAAGCCGGTTAAGATGTGCGACAAAATGAAGAGAAAAACGTTATGTGAAGGGCAATCCCTCCTTAAGGAGGGTAAGATTTGTGCCAAAGAGAGAAAAACAAGTAACACAAAGAGCACCCCTTCCCAGACAAGTGTGTGTGAGACTGTTTCCACTTGTGGAGGAGGTGATGTAGAGATTTGGTGCGAAATGATAAGCACACAACAGACGCCACACAATACAAGAAACAAAGACCTGGGCTGGCATGAGTACAAGCACAGGGTCTAATATCAAACATTAACAAAACAGTTTTACGTGATCCAGTTGCTGTTTGCTGGAGGATGAGAGGACACGGCAATGATGGGCGGCCCCCTCCTGGTCAACAGCGGTGGACTCTTTCCGTGCTGTGATGATGATGACGATGAATTCCTTAATTACATAGCATTCACTAAACCCAACTCCGCTCCCAGCTTTTCCATGCTGTGGCAAGTGAGTGCAACAGGGAGGCACAGGCCAGTTCGAGCGCTTGGGCAGGATCTACTGAAGGTTGCTTCTTAAAGAAAAAAGCGACAAGGCGTGCAAGGGGCGGCCTCCTGCTGGGCAAGAGTTGCGAGAGTCTTTTCCATGCTGTGAAAAGTGAGTGCAACGGGCAAAAGGGAGGGACAGGCCAATTTGAACGCCAGGCCAGGGTCCCAAGATTCTCGGTTCAATGAAGGAAGGGACGCTTCGCACAGTGAACTCCACCCTGCCAAGCAAAACTGGCGAGACTCTGATCCACGCTGCAACAGCTGATGCAGAAATCCCCAAGGGCAGGGTGCGACCACCCGGGCAGGCCCAAAACCACCGTCCGAGCTGCAAACGCGGCTCTTCCCAGGCCAGGCGCCTCTAAGCTCCGCACTCTGGCTTACTTTTCTCCCTTTCTCCATTTTTCTGGAGCTTGGGCGGGGGGGGGGGCACGCGAATGCAGATCCCCGCGTAAGGAACCGGGTGTGGGGATGGGGAGGGGCGGGACAGGTGAATGGACGTGAGGCATGGCAACGGGCATGATTTACCGCTGGGAGTCCCGGCCCTCGCGGCGGCCTTGGTGCTGGGGTCAGATCCGGCCCGCTTGTGCATGGCGAGCGCCGGCGCCGGGCGGGCGGCCAGCGGGAGCGGCGGCTTTGACGTCCCAGCTGGGGCGGCGGGAGACGTCGCAGGGGCAAGGGATGTCGGGGCGCGGGGGAGGGCCTGGAGCCATTTCAATGGTCGCGAGTTGATTCATAATTGATTCGTAATGCATTAATTCACGTTCACGAGACTGTATTCACAGTGACACATTCCTGGATTCCTGGACTTTGTTTGTGTTGTACATTGGTTTTGCAATGAACTGATGGTGAGCGTTACTTTGCTCGGGGGAGAAAGGAAGCTGACAGCTGCCTCCTTAAATTGATATGTAAGAATGGTCGATGGTGCCTCGGCACATTCTTGTTTTGTGGACAGTGTCTGAAGCCTGGGTATGTTTGTGATACGACGGCCTCTGGCCCAGTTGCCTCATTACAGAAAAAAGGGTACTACAGAAGGAATTGCTTCCAATCGACGCTCAGCGTAACAAAATCAGTACAGCGTCTTCCCCTAAAGGCCCGCCTTGCACCTGTTTCTTCGGGCCCGCCTCACGCTGCCATCCCCACGAACTCATTGCTGCGCTATCAGCGCCCCCGCAAATGTTTCGCACATTGGAAAAGAAGTAGAGGTGATGTTGGTCACAGCCATGTATGGTTTTGGAGTGGACGTGTTAATGATGAAATCTTGCGGATCTCCGAATTTCGAGGCGTGGGCCAAGCTGATGGCGCCCTGTCGGTGTGTCGGGCTGCCCATTCTGGCAAAGGGCACACTGCCGAGTTTTGCGCAAGTGGCTTGGTTGGGCGTTCTATTGGGTTTTCCGACCCTCTTCTTCAGGTGGTGCAACAGAGCGGTGCACGGACCGAGACTTTGGGGCTTTTGAACACACACTTCGGTGCGTATCGGGCACAGCTGTGCCTATCATCGCACGCCAGGTGCAAGGTTCTGTTCGTCGCGGCCTTCCTGACAACTGCTGCCCCCAAGAAATCGGTTTGCACAAAGCGGCCCGACTTCGTCACAGCTGCCTGGGCAGCAACAATGTTGAATTTCGAATTCAAACACGCTGGTTTGCACATGACATGGTTATCAACTTGACGTTTACGGTGCTCATATTCTGGATATTCTGTGCGCAGACGTGTGCCGAATAACGCCCAGGGGTACCGGTGCAACAAGCAAGGGCCTGTCCCGGGAGCAACACCCCTCGTTACCTGCAGCCCGCGTGGTCATTCTTGCCCCCCTGTTGGTGCACCCTTTCGGCCAAAGTGTGCGCCAAAGTACTACCAGCGCCGCTAAGTACACTACCAAACAACAAGTCTTGAAACCCGTCTTCCCCTCTGCCCACGTGGGGCGTCCGCTCGGCTGAACTACAAGGCTCCCCATTGAGCAATGCCTATCAGAACTGTTACCAGGTATGGCACCAGCACCGACACTGGGGAACTGCCGGTGGCACAGCACCCTCAAGTGAGCTGCCCCTTGCAAGGGAACCAAAGAAACGGGCGGCCACCCGCGCTGCGTTTCTAACATTGATTGGAACCGAAGAAAATAGCGACCAAACAACGATCGCCCCATCAAGAATCGATCGGCCTCCTGCATGCCGCCCTGTTGACACAATCTGCCCTCTGGCAGTCGTGCCCAGGGCAGCCGTCGCCCAAGGAAACCAATCGGCATCAGCGCCCACAAATGTCCGTTGCACCGGAAAAGGAAGGCGCAAGCTGCCGACGGCTTTTGGAGCACAGCCACTCGCCCTCCTGCCAACGCAAAACGCGATTCTCCAAAAAGAACAGCCAATGGGGCGGTCAGCCACGGCCCAAAATTCGCCTCTCCTTGACATTTTTCGCTCCTTTTTGGACCCTATTGGCGAAGGCTGTGTGGCTCACAACTTGACGCACTCCCGGGTGAATTGCAGCACAGGTCCGATGTCGCCTGTGATGGCAGAAATCTTGGCCACCGCAACCTGCCGGGCACCACAATAGAGACTCCCTCACTCAAGAGATGTTGAGTATCAAGGCCAGACAGCTAGCAAAGGGATGCTGTTTGACTATTCGAGTTCAGCAGAGACACGTGACAAGGCCAATGTGTCGATTCTTCACGTTGCCTGCAAGGATGTTCACTCACGCTCACTCGCATCTCAAGGCCAGGTGGCAGTCATAAGCCCACGATTTGCGCATTAAAATGCGCAATGAAATTCATAAAGTGTTGCAACAACGAAATCCACAATCCACCACTGCCAAGAGAGGCCTTTAGATTCAGCAGAACTGCAGTGGCATGCCAGTATTTGCCTATCCTGTCTGCACTCCGATTCTGTTTGAAGCACAAAGGCTCTCTCTGCACTCTGCGTACATACTTCACTGCCGCCCATGTACCACCCCATTGCACACCTTGTGCAGTCCCTTGCCAGCATGAGCACACGACAAGACATCCTGTGCATACAGGTGTGCATCCCACGGCTTGCTACCCCGCCAAACTGCAAAAGCGTAAGAATAAGAACTGGCCACTGACACCAGCCAACATGCCTCACATCACACCAACAGCGCAACTTCAGAATCTGCCACCTTCCAAAAAGCTATTCAGATGAAAACGTTCTGGATGGAAACTTGGCCATCATTGGGTGGAAAGGGCTTGGGCCCAGTTTGTCTTTCGAAGGGAAATTCAAGCAAAGGAATTTAGTAGTAAGCATGCTCTCGCACAAGACAACAACTCGCCGCACCTTCGAGACAACGTGCTTGAAAGAGAATGCCTCTCCCTCCTTTCCGATAGGTGTGCGCCGGCCCTCTCCCTCCAATGTGCTCTGTGTAGATCGAAGGTTCTCGCTGTTGCCACAAGCAACTATCAGTGCGATTTTCGTTCACCAAAACTCAGACAAAACAGTTCCCAGGCATTCTAACAGCGACTAAGAGCGTGTTCTTGCAGATGCCTGAAGGCACTGTCCTTGGAAACAGCAGGCCATGCATCCTAACAATGATACGATGCATTCAGGGGGCCTTCACAGTGAGATTCGCTGCAACTCAAGGTGCAGTAGTCATGTACTCATCTGTAACAGTAAGCCAAACATGTGCCATTGGGGGGAGAACAAACGGAGGGGAAGGTCCAAGGTACGGCATTCCCTCCAGTTAACAATATGATCATAACTGACAGTGATAACAGAATGATCACAAATGGGTACTTCCATGAACTTTCCTCGTTGCCTTTGCCTTTGTTATCACACAGTCACTGAACGTGCCCATTTGAAGCAATGCCGGCCATGGCAGGCACTGCACTGTTCAAAGAGACGGGACCAAATGGTGTGTACACAACAATGCCAGGGATCAACAAAGTACAAATTCAATATGCTGCTGGTTATGCTACGCATACTCCATAACTACCAGCACTGCTAAACCATTATTCTGCCACACTAAAAAGCTACCAAACCAAACTACTGGCTACTGGCCTGCCAAAAGGGATGGGAAAAACGAGTTGGCCTTTGTACTGCCCTGCAGCTGCTGCAGACATGCACTCACATTTCCCTCTCTAAAAGTTTGACAATGAAGTTGTCAGTGTGGGCCTTGGCTCCAAGGTCTGCCTTGTTGCAGGCCAGGAGGAGCGGGATGTGGTGGTTGCGGAAGACAGGATGAGTCAACAGATCATACAGCTGCCTGCGAGCAAGCACACATGAAAAAGGGACTGTCAGCAGCAAGACAGCAACATGTGCACACAAAGTTATTGTGCCACAGATCCTTGTTGCTGACATGAGCATGCTGCTGCTGCTGCTGCTGCTGCTGCTGCTGCTGCTGCTGTTGTGCACCATCTTCAAACACTGCCACACACACAGCTCCATGCTTTCCCAACATTAGAGGGCTCCATATCTTGTCAATAGATATGCTGTACTAAAATATATACAGGCCTTCCAAAGAGCAACACCTAAACTCCGCAGCTAAGATATTCATCTCAAAGAAGAAAGAGAGATTCAGAGCCACCTTCACCTACAGGAGTGGCAAGATACCATGCACTGAAAAAGAAGGAAGGGCCATCTAAAGACAGCCCTTTGCACTTCAGTTGAGGACACACTTGCAACACCACTGCCATCCTAGACTTCAAAATATAATGCAATATTATGGTATCAAAGAAGCACTGTGATTGCACAAGTAAAGAGAAGGTTGCTGTGATAAAATGTAAATATGTCACACGATGGGCACCAACCCTCCGGAGCCAAAAGGTAAGTGAGACTCATTTCATGCTGGTGAAAAATGGTTTGGAGTCCCCTGGTGCAGGCACAAGCCACACAATGCAGCACATGGGGAACCAACAGTCAGAACCAGCCACTTCTAATTCTCCTCAGGAACACCACACATCACCTGTCTAAAATCAGGACATCAAGTTGCCAACCCCAAGACACCCAAACTGCCAGAAACATCGCAAGTGCTTACTCTGCAATATCCTTGCTATGGGGCATGAAGTCAGTGGCATCCAACATGAAAACAATGCCCGCAGCCCCGCCAATGTACTTCTCTAGCTTGTGTTTCAGCCGTGGGTGGCCTGGAAGATCCACAAAGTGCACAGCGCTGTCTATGCCATCTGCACCCTTTCACATAACAACAACATAGAGAACTCGTCAGGGACGATGACACACCATGCCACAGTAAGCAGTTGAAGTAGTCAAGACCAAAAGCGGAATGTTCCACTGAGATTTTGCATTACTCATTGCAAACTATTGCCACCAAGTTTGCACAGTGCTTTGTTCCCAGTGAAGAGGGTGCGCTTGGCTGCTGTGCACCACAGGCTCTGCGAGTGCCATCCATATCAAAACACATGCATGACTTGAACCATCGGCAGCCTTTCCTTCCAAATATTGATGTAATTCCTTGAAAACATGCAAAACAGCCAGGGGCTGTTGTGTTGGGGCAAAGTATGGACAGGGTATCAAGCCACACAGCCATGACATTCGGTTCCTGATAATCAAAGGACATGATAGATTCCAGTTCTAAACCAGCGCAGATCCCATGAGACACATCTACTGGCCTAAGCGCTTCATTTGTCTCAAAATCTGACAATTCCAATCCATGGATTCAATCAGTAAGGCATGAAACACAATGCTGTTGCACATTGCAGGTGACAACCAGCACAAGAGCATCCAATTAGAGGTTGTAGGTCTCCCACGATCATAGCTACATACACTGCCCATTTGTGCACTCCTCACAAATGCAAACACGCCCAACCTGAGGGGGGCACTGCGCATCACTTCACTTGTGCATTCAGTGTGCATCATAAGTCACATCCTTTGAACAGGAGCGCCTCCTTCAAGCTTACCTCTGCCTTCGGCCTGAAAGTGCCTTCATTCTCATCCATTGATGTCACGGTACCATTAAGTGTGTCTCCCTCTTTCAGCTGGACAATAGAGAAGGCGACTGAATTATTCACATCAGCACACAAACCTTGCCAGCAATTATGAATCGTGACTGTGGCAAACTGTACCATGACAGAATTACTAGAGCAAGCAACAAATCTTCTGTAAACTGTGACATAACTACATACTTCATAATATGATATATCATGATCATGACGCGTAAATTATAAACAACCAAAGTACAAACTGTAACCAAAGCAAACACTCCATGCAAAAGGAGGTTTGCATTCCTAGTATGACCTGCAGTGGGGAGTGCACTCCCCAACATCGAAGACAGTGCTTCAAGGCAGTACTTGCAGTCGATGGCAACAGAAATCCTTGTTGGTTAAATATATCAAACATGACAGGCACGTGCCTCTTCTCCTTCTAGACTATGATAAAATGTGTGGCCACTGAAACAAAGGCACATGGGCAATAGTCCTCAAGCGTTTCAGCAGGGACAACAGTTCTGAGCTGCTGCTTCCCCCACAGCCAATGTGCATGCCCCACCAGGTCCATTGGCAGCGGACATTTCGCACCTGGAGGAATAAAACAGTCTTGCCAGCTCCAGATGGCCCCACCAAAAGCATGGAGGACCCGCGTGAGCCCGAGCCACTCCTGAATAACCCTGCCACAAGCACAGCGCACTGGGCTCAGATTCGAAAACAAAAATTGACAATCCTGGCCCCCATGCAGCGCAACGCGGCCTTCTGGGACCCATGGAGAAACAGTGTTTGGCTGAGAAGCCAGCCGCCTGAGTACGATGCAGCCTCTTTGCTCCCAACGCAGATGCGAATGCTAGTCAACGGCTCGGAGCCCAAATGGATAATGGGTGCCCCTTCCCTTTCAGAGCAGCCACATTCTCAGCAGCCCAACAGCATTGGCTCCATTCTGCGATGCTCGTTGCGCCTGATTCTGAATCTTTTCCATTTTGCTGTCTGCAGGGTGGGGCTTCCTGTGCCTGAATGCCCAACATTGGAAACGATGACAACAGTTCCCAGTCGAAATGGGGAAGATGGGCCCAACCCCTTCCAGAGCAGCCGCATTCTCAACAGCCCGACAGCATCGCCTCCATCCCGCGAAGTGCATTGCGCGTGACTCCGAATCCTTTCCATCTTGCCGCCTCAAGGGGGACGCTCCCTGCGGCTGGCCGCCGAACGTTGGAAACGATGCCGACGGGCGCTCCGTCCAAACGGGGCCGCCCCTCTGCTCCCAGCATGACCGCCGCGGCGCCCAAAATGGACGCAAAACAATCGCGGACGGCGCCCAAAGATGCACGCCCGTCTCCAGCGCACAGCAGAACAAAAGAACACAAAACAAAGGAACAAAAGAACAAAAACACAAAAACATAACTAAAATTTCCAGCTCCGGGTCCAGCCGACAACCAGAGAAGTCGCGCCTTCCCACGGGTGGCTGCCGATTGTGCGCCAATCCCTTTCGCTGCCGTTAATGAGCGCACCCGCCGCGCGGGCACAACTCACTCTGAACGAGCCAGTAGATAAGCAAGATCGCCAGGACGGCCACGGCGGCGCGGGCCTCTATGGAGAAGCCCGGGCTCTCCGGGTGGCTGTCCCCAGCGGCCATCGGCGGGATGGGGATCTTCTAGAACCTTCTGGATTGTGATGCGCGGTTCCGAAGGGGGGATGTAGGGTGGTGTGCGTGGGAGAGGGGCTGCTGCCGATGGGCGGGGCGCTGCGCGAGCGGCGAGTCGAGTGTGGGCGCAGGCTTGGGTGGTGGGCTGGAGGACGTCCCATCAAAAGCCAGCAAGAGGCAGCGGGCGTGAAAAATTCGAAGCGGGTAATAGCGATAATGCGTGGGCCAAGATTTGTTGCAGACGGAACTTGTTGCAGTTGCTGAGAAAGAATTTAGTGCAGTTGCTGAGAAAGGCCGCCGCGCAAAGGGCCCACTGCCAACAAGTTGCTCAGGGCGGGAGCCGGCGAATGCAACACGCCAACTTTGCTGTTGTGTGTCAAGGGCTTCTTCGATTGACTTTTCGAACGCATGACGAATCGCTTTCGAAGCGATTTGTCATGCGTCCAAAGAGTCAACCGAAATGGATGCTGTTATCTCATGCAACATATGCGCAATTTGCCAGCCTTCGGCCCCTGGGCCTGGTGTTTGTCCCAAGCATGCATTCTCCATTGGGGCTCCTCCTCCCGAAGACAACGATGGCTCTTGCTGCAGTACCACTGAAGGAAGGTACATAGACTTAAAGATATCGTAGAGTATCATAGACTATACGATAGCGTATCATATTTTAGAATCGTATATCTCCAATATGCTCCGTATCTTAAACGCTAGAACAAATTGCTCCCGCATAATAAGCAAGACACTTCGTCAATTTTGCGCTCCTTAGTCCCATTTTGATGTTAAGCCCAGAGACACCCCCACTCCCCAACCCCTTCCTCAGCGTCAATCCTTATGTCGATGGCATGATGACTCAGCAACATAACATAACGGAGCTAGACAATTTGAAGGTGCTGTTACGAAATATAAACAACCAGAATTGCATAAATTATAGGAAACTAAAAATGGGGATAACAAAGGCCACAGCATGTGATTGGGCCAGCCTACCGTGAACTGAGGCGATAGCAAGAAAGTGTGTTAACCACACATCATCGTTTAAATTCCGCTCTGACGCGAGATGAGCATTCTCGCTGCTGTGTGCCAGTTGTCTGCATGAAGAGCGACGCTATAGCTCGTTGGCCTGTCGCAGACGAGCTTTCAAATTGAAAGCTTCAATGGTGGCGCCGAACATCAAGTCCAATCTGCGCTCGCGGCGATTTATGCATGAATACATCTTGGGTCGGCGAGCACCGTCCGTGCAGCTGCAATCTACTTCTGGCCGAAGTCGCTGCCACTGCAGTGCACGTGCAGCACCGACAGCAGCGCGTTTTCCAGCTTCCAAGAGAATTAATCAGCGCCCAGCTCTCTCATTATCTGCCCAGGAGAGTAGCTACCTATACTACCCACTACAATTTCAGTATACACGACTATTCGCTAATCGCTGGAGAACCCCTTTTCTCCAACACTGTGCCCATCGATTGTTCTCGCAGAGCCCTTCGCATTGATACACACCGGCATGATTTGAGACAACGCGCATGCAAAATCCACTCAGCGCCAGTAATGCAGGCGCAAGCACCATTTCCCAACGTCTGCACAAGGCCCGCGTCTTCATGGGGAGCACAGATCCTCCTTTTGCACCCTATCCCAGCCGCTGGAAACAGCCATCGCTCTTTGTGGTGCCAGGCTGCACAGCTGTACTCCACATCCCCAGTCCCCTAATAGGCAGTATGCAGAAGTGCTCAACCAGTCCAACGATTAGCGCACAAAAAATTCATGGTAATTCCCACCCCGCGGTCATCCAACGTAGGATCCATGAAACGCCCTGACATTCTCTCCGCCAGCCAGCAAGCCAGGCTGCCATCCCCGCGTGGACCCCATTTGGTACACTTCCATTCCGACCATTTTGTTGGGGGTGGCCGCCAGGTCTTTGAGGCCGCCAATGGCGTACACTGTTCCGTTGATGGCTTGCGCAGTGCAGAAAGCCCTCGTCTCTTTCGTGCCTTCCCAGGAAACCCATTTGCGCATCCTGATGAGCAGTACAAGGGGAGGGGGGGGGGTCATTCTCGGCAGTCCGGCTGCGCCAAGTCGCACTGACAAAGTACTGCCCTTTCACATAGTCGCTGTCTGTGTTCAAGTTGTGTTCAAATGAGAGCAAATCGTGTTTTCCTAAATGCGTTAACTTAACACGCTTTTCTTCTACCATGTGGTCAGTTGCCACAGAATTGGTCCCCTTTCAAGTGGGTCCAGTTCGTGTTATGCTGATCGATTTTGGTGCAATTTTCCACCGGTCTCACTGCTGCGCTGGAGGGAACGCGACCAGCAAACAACAACGACAAACAGCCCCAGGGCCCTCAGATGTGATGCAAAACTGTAGAGTATCAACATACTGACCGAGATTTCAGGATCAGAAACAATGGAAAGTAACATGAACAACACGATGTCCAGGTCTTGCCACACACAATCAGGTGGATCGCTGGCACATGCGCACACGGGAACTGAAAACTACAGACGCGTTGTATCATTGAGCACTAGTAGGCAAAGCACCCTGTCACCTGAAGTCATAGTGCTCGACGCAGTTAGTCGTGGCCACCCCACTGCCCTGCGCCTGCGGAGCCACGCCACCGATCGCCCACACACCGCTTCCTGTTGTCCAGTGCAAGCAGCAGCACCCAAAGAACGCTCGAGGAGTCGGCATGGAAACCACTGTTACCCAGCGGTTCCCATTTTCCCGAAGATCAATCATCTCGGCAGTGCTGACAAGAATGCCTTCACTGGAGACGCCTCCCACAGCAAAGAACGTCGTTGCGTCAACCCTGGTGATGGCCAGACCGTAGCGCGGTACGCTTAGGCTGGGCCCAGTCCGCCATATGTCCCTAGCACAGTCGTAGAGCTCAACAGTATTCGTGGCCCGGACTTCATGCAGCTCCAACACAGCATCCTTGGCATGTGAATTTGCACGGCAACTCACAGCACCCCCACCCACCATTAGCCCCCCACTGGCCATCGGTGCAGCTGCATGGCAGGCTCGTCCATGCACGAGCATGTTCACCATCCTCCACTGCCCTGCGTGTCCACACACCAATTGGTGGAATTCCGGCCATCCTTGCCTTGCAGTCACAAGGACGGTGCCTTTGCATCGTGGCAAACATGGTCAGGCTGGCTGCCTCCCTCCCCACAGACCTGTTGCATCAGTGCCACGCTCGCTGCTGCCAAGTTCTCCGGCACCAGCATGTCTTACCATACTTGCGCAATTGGTGTTTTCCTCAATCGTGGAGCTTTCTTATTCCAAAAGCTACATCGCATTTGAGACACATTCTACAATGTGGGGCACACGAGCCTGGAAAGGAAGGTGGGGAGCCAGGCACTCCCATGCACTTCTTTGCTGCAATACAATGGGGACGCAATTTAAGGGCACCCTTAGGAGAAGTGGAGTCTCAACTTGAGACTTGGCCTCGTGGTGGCGACCTTCAGAAAGGGCCACCATTTTTCTTCTCTTTTTCCTTCTTGTTTCAACCCTGTGTTTGATCCCCATGGGAATTATGGATTGCAAAGACCTGTGCCTGGATACAGTGTTGAGGACACAATTCTGAGGTTCCAAAGTGCCTGTCAACGCCTTGGAGACGCCGGGGAAGTATTCGCCACCTTTTGACCAATGTGTTCAACAGATTGGCATAGCATGGCAGCCAGCCCACCAGCAACAATCAACATGAGCAACCACGAGTTGCATACAGCAGCGCTGTAACAGCACCCTGTCTGGGCACAATTCACGGCAACCAGTTCTTACACAGCAAAAACCATTTTCTACAGTGATGCATTGTATGTACAATTCGCATTGAATTGCTGAGAAGCATGTGGCAGTCACGTCAACTGCATTAGCAAGGACCAATAGTGTATCCATGTAACTATGCTTTTGGTGGAAAATCCCACGTTAAAAGAAGAAGATAGAATGAAGCGAGAATTATACCATTTTGCACCAGTGCATTTCCCACCTGTAGGGGCACCTTCCGCATTGACATGGGTTTTTCGCACATGAATACTGGGAGAGAACCTCCATTCACGATGATACTCGCCACCAATTATGTAGGTCTCCCCGCTGGAATGGACAACACAGCCCTGCTTCGGCGAACCATTTTCCTCCCACTTGGCAATGGTCTGCCATTGGCGATTGCTTGGTATGAACTTCTCAATCTGTAAATGCACACAACCTGCAGGTGATGGCAAGGGATGCCATGAACACACCTAGCCAGCTGCCACGTAGTCAGAAACCACACATTAAGTCATAATGAGCAAATTAAAAATCCTTTGACGTACATTGTTCAAGCGCTGGTCAAGTGACGTGCTGCAAAATGGTCAAAGCAGTTTATTTAAGTACTGGTCAAGTCGGGTCACACTGGTCATGTGATTCTGCCAACAGCAATTAGCAGTGCTAATTTAGCACCAATACTGAAGACAACATGTAACAGTGGACGAATGCATCAAGGGAGAAACCAAAAAAAATGAAAAAATGAATGGTGCACATGGTCCTTACCATGGTGACCTTCTTGTCATCAGGATTGCGACCTCCCAAGATGAAGAGTCCCTCCTCTTGCAGCGGCCGCCCCTGTGTCTGTGCCTCCAAAGTTTGTTGCATTTGGAGGGTGCCATCAAATTGACTGCCGAGCATGGTTGGCGATGATGTGGGAACCAAAGAATTCTGGCCTGAGTGCATGCTCTCCTGCAATCCAGCCAGCCCCATTTGCTGCTCCGAGTGCGCCACAGCAGGGGCGCCACGCTGGCTGTCTTGGCTGCCACCACGACCACTCCTGTGAAATGGACCACTCCCACTGGCCAGTGGCTGGCCCACCGGGATTGCACCCTGGACACCCCAGTTGCCTGAGCCTTGTGCCCCTGCGAGGCCACGTCCTGACTGTACATCATCTGAAACGTAACCTGCCAAGGACGCACTGCCTGAACTGGGACTCCCCACCATTCGCGTGTCCCCATCTTCCTGGTTGCTGGGCAGTGCCTGCGAAGACAGC